AGTCGTGATAAATTAAAATGTATGTCCATATATGCTTACCATTATTTCGTTAAATTGTGTTTTTTTATACATATTTTATCCACGTTTTTATTGTTTTTCGTGCTTATGTGATTGTTGGCTATAACTATTAAATATAAAATTTTAAATAAGTGTTATTATTAATGAAGTCTGCTGTGTCTATAAAAATACAGCCGTAAGTCTTCAAATCGTTAAACCGCCATCAGTATTGAATTATCTTTAACTATAACAACCTTTAAAATATTTTATTTTGACCAAACTAAGAGAAATTTGCGGTTTTTAAAAGAAAAATTGTAAATAGTTCCGAATGACGTTAGATTTTTGGCTTGTGTCGATATTTTTTTTTATTTACTTACGTTATGTATTGTTTCTTATTGTACCTTTAATATTTAAGTATACAATATGTTTAACGCTTTAGTCTAATGGTAGCAATGTTGGCCTGGCAACAACCAACGGGACGTGGGTTCGACCCCCAGTGGTACAAGACGTTTCTGAACCATTTTTAAAAATTTTGACTGCAAGTAAAAAAGTTGTGACGTGTAAATTCACGGTTACAATTTCAGGTTTACCGTATGTCCCAAGCCATAATAAGTCGACAACACATCTCGTTGCAAATGACTTATTTACTATGACTTTAAAGTTAAGTTTACTAATAAGTTTGTAGTTCTCTAGTTGTCACTCCTGGGGACACTTAATGGAGGAAATGCACGGTTGAAAGTAACTTTACAAAAAAGTGCCGCTATATATTACATTAAATTGCACATTATCTCGACTAAGTACGTATGACCTTTACAACAAACCATTGAAAATATATTTTATTCTCTTTAACTTTCTTTTACTTACGCAATAGTTTTACATTTCGCGCTGTCGCTAACGGGGACAGTCTGAAAATCAGCGCTTAGCAAGCTTTTCTGAGCTCTGGCTGAGTCTTGATGCCTTTTAGCACAAAGTTAAAATTGTACTTTGTTTGTATTCTTTTAATTATAAGTTTTCTTTTTTACTAATTATTTTAATTGTAAATTCTGTACTTTGTGATAATAAATGCATTATTTATTTATACAATTTCAAACTCTATTTCCAACTCTTCCATTTTTTTATTAAGTTCATTTAGTTTTATTCTTTATGTCTTGTGTGAAATAACTGATGAGTTTGATGCTGTAAATAAAACAATTTAATAACGATTAGATGAAGGAATCGCAAATATCCGGAATAATTTCCCGTACACAAGTGAATATTTTATTCATTCGGGTCCGATATTAATTAAATGGAGTTCTGTCTGTCTGTCGTTACTGTGGAATCCATTATAGCTAAGGGTTAAGAAGTTGTTATTTAATTTCAACTCGAAGGCTGTTCCTTGTTTCATTTGAATAATTCGATTACAATAAAACAATTTCGTCGGATGTATTACGGTTATTTTGGGAGTAATTATTTTCTAATTTAAATTCATTTATTCATTACATTATCGTTATACGAAGTTTATTCTTTAGTTTTGTGACATTCATAAGTTGGCTAACATTGTTAGGCCGATATTGGATTTATTTTTGCACTCCTACTGCTCTAAAGAATATTAAAAGATTTCTTATCTCGTCTTAGGTTTTTCAATTTAATTATATTTGTGTTAGTTAGTTTGTAGTTAAAACGTGTAATTCATATTATATTTCCTTGATAAAAATATGATAAAATTTGTCTAATTTTCTGTAATTTTTATCGAGGTTTTGTTTTTTCTTATTTTATATAAATTTTAACATTTGTGAATTTTTTAACTTATTTTTTATTTTATTAATTAGCCACTTATGTAATGTATCTATTTGTTTCCTTTTGCTCAATAAATAAATACATGAATAAATTATTTTTTACTTTTTTGACTTTTGGAAACTGTCTCGTTGGCGTAGTGCGTAGTGTCTAACAGACAAACAGGTTTTGTTGAAAAACAGTATTTTACATTCAATGGGCCAACTTTTTGGCATCGCTGTTTTCTTTAATTTTAATTTAATCTTTGTTTATATTAATTGTTTCTTTGTACTCATTTTTATTATTTATCGGATATTAAATAAATGCCAAAAAAAGATAATAATTATTATTAAGTAACACAGGAACAGGAAGGAATATGAAAATATTGTCCGAGTCACGTCCACAGATGATAAAGCCCTGAATTTAAATTTCAAATCCGTTTCAACGTGTTGACTTCTGAACATTCAAGGTTAAAATAGATCAACAGGCCATCTTGTTCAGATGTTATATTGGGTATGTAACTTACATGGAGTGAGTTCCATATCTGTCTGTCATAGAATTTTTTTTAATGTACGTGAGATATGTACATACACATGATTAATATGTTACACATGCTTTCGTTAAATCTATACTAATATAATATAAAGCTAAAGAGTTTGTTTGTTTGCACGCACTAATCTCAGGAACTACGGGTTCGAATTGAAAAATTATTTTCGTGTTGGTTAGAGCACTTATCGAGGAAGGCTATAAAACATCGCCCTGTGAGTTCCGAGACGTACGCTGCAAAATCGGTCCAAGATACACAAAAAATATGTATGAAAGAATGAATCCTCTTTAAATGATCTAAGAAAGAGTCCGACGCTATATGTCTATCTTTTAACTTAACTTAAAAGAACGTCGTGGGTAACAGCTTAAGTTTATAAAGAAGGAGTTTGTAAAAACGAATTTGGATGCCCAAAATAACGATTCTCGCGGACGAAGTCGCTGACACAGCTAGTGAAATATAATGCTAGGAGTATAAATAAATAAAACCAAAGATGACCTTCTAATCATAGGTCATATTAAACTATTTTATAGCACTATGGTGATGTTGCAATTTTAAAGACGGTAATACCAAAATTATATGAACTTAGTAATAATGTTGCTTATTGTTTGAGCGGAAGAACTACCATATACTTAGTTACATTGTAACTATACAGTATCTCGGCGTAAGTACTTGTAAAACGCGTTACACTCCTTATTCTTATGGTAGTAATTTATCGCTAATTATCCACGGTTCATAGGTTTGATTCTCATCAGGTCCAATTTGTTTCTAGACAATTTATAATTTTCTTGTAACGTGTTTTCCTTCGTCTAGATACCGAAAGTCCAAATAGATCGACATCACTCTTTACATGCTCGTTAGTGTAATTTACCTTCCATCAAGTGAGTCTATGCTAGACTGTCCTCTGTATAGAATGAGTAGAAGTAAGTGTGAGGAGCCACTTGTTTGGATGTGGGCATATGCATTGTATGTCCTGGATTTATAATCTTTCAAGTATCATGAATTAAACGCCACCATTGTCTATCTGTGTCATCGAAAAACATCGACGCAGTAACGTACTCTCCATAGCACCAGGAGAACATTATTCCATTTTAATAAAACACTTCAAGATTTTTTTCTTAGAGAGAACGCTGTCGATGTCGGCTCAAGTCCTGCCCGAGTCGAATTTGTTTTCAATTTATTTTCGATTTTTAAATTATACTTTAAGAGTTTAAAACGCCATATATATTACTTAATGTGGGGTAATTAAAATAATAACATATATCGCGTGTTAAACAGTAAAAGTGATTTATTTAAATGTTAATATTACAATTAAACACACATTTTAATTTTAAGGTATATTTCATTACGATTAAGTTACTTGATTACTTGTTTATATAAACTTAAAGGTTTAAAACGCGAAATATAATATTACTTAAATTATTTCGCGTTTCAGACTGTTAAAATTGTTTTATTTAAATGTGAACTAATCGCATTAGCTACAGACAATACATCATTCTTATTATATATAGTTAAAACAAAAAATACTAACAGACTATGATAATAACTCAGATCGATCAAAAGGAAATTACTGAATTAGCGTAATTCTCTCTAGATAAATTAACTCTCGTTACTCTGTGTACGGCCACAGATGATATCTGTCAAAATATATCCTCTCCATTATCAGTATTATCGTTGCTAGAATGTATGAGCCGAACAGAATAGCCAACGGGGTATAGATTAGACATAGGCCGGCTTTTTGATACTCCATGACGTCATTGCATGAATACGACATAAGACGGTCTCCAGATAAGAAAGATATTAGACCAGCTTCTTTTGCACGCATTATTCTAGAACAAGATGATACGTTGAATTAAATTCTGTTTTAACTGTTTAAAATGCTAAATATATTAGTCAAACTTGTTTGAAAATTATTTTAACTCCGGCCCAACGTTTCGGTTGCTGCAGCAGCCAAATTTTAAACCGTTAAGGTGTTATATTTGAATTTAGAGTAGACTACTTGCGTAACTACTTTATAGCCCAATAATTGGCAAACACTAACATTATTAAAATAAGACTAAAGTAATTAAATATTTATTGAAATAGAACATGTTTAACGGTTTAAAACGTGAAATGTATATGTTAAATTTATTAAAAAAAATAATTAACTACAGCCCGGCGCGGCGTTGCAAATACTTTGCAGCAGGCGTGGTCACGGGAAGACTAAATATAAGAGAGTGTCTCTAATGTCAAAATAAAAACAGCTCGCGTAAACTACAGACATTATTTATATGTATATAAATTTCTTTTGTCGAAAAGTAAAAACCACTGAATTATAGGGTAAAATGAACTTGATATTTTACCCTACATAATTTTTATATATTTATAATAATATACACAGTTATTTTAAGCATTTTCAATTGATTATATAACGTTACTTTAACGACTAGTTCGTAATAAAAAAGTATAAATAACATAAAATTCGTTGAGATTATTTAAGTAGGTCTAGTATTAGGTAAAAATAAGTCTAATAAAAGTTATAAGTAAATTATAAGCTTCACAAATCAAATTGAAGATGGCAGGATTGAAAACTAAGTTAAGAGCTTAGAAGAAATAAAGAACTTTGTAAAAAACATCTCCTACGGCGGACCAGATTAATTTATTTAGGCTTAAATATTGATGAATTATATTAAAATTAATAAATTACATTAAAACTTACTAAGGAAGATTACTCACCCAATTTTGAATTTTTCTTTATGTTTAAAATTTTTGGAGGTGAAGAAGTATTTCCTTTCCTATTGGGGTAAAGATCGACTTCCATCAGCTCGCATATAGCGTGGTTTTCGAACACTAAAGACAAAAAATAACTTCTTTAGTTAAATTTGCAGATTGTGTAACGGGATATTTGGCTTATCATGTGATTTTATATGGGGGGAATATTAAAGCTCCATTACGTGAACCATGCTTATATTTGTAGATTGGGTTCAAACCCACTTTGGTAGACACCATTGCAAATATGCGTGTCCAGCAATGCAAATATAATATATTTCATAATGTACCATAATCCCTCAAACAAGCAGCTTAAAATTTTATGGGCATATAGAAGGTTCTGCTATCTATTTTATTTTTGGGACAAAAATAAATTTGCTTTATAATGATATTAATAAAAATCGTTAAAAAACTTTTAAGTTAAACGGTTTTATATTTTGTGCACTACAAAACTACAAAATATTTTAAATTATGACATAATCATCGTGTTTTACTAGTGTAGCCCTTTCATTTGATACCCATATTGAGGGGGTTGAGGAAAAATATGTAATCCGCCATTTTGTATCGGCGGCCATCTTGGATTTATAATGTTATTGATACCAAATTTCAGATCAATCTGACAACGGTAAGGTGCTTAAATTTCAATTTCTAATTTTGAAACATATAAATAAATTCCGTACGGATCGAGCTAAATAAAACCGTTTCAAAGTACACACAATTATACTTTTTTAACTATAGACCTATCCCTATTTTTATAGTAATTTATATTAATTTTCCCTTATGGTTCACAGTATCGCTCTTCTAGTATATACCACGTCGTTAGATGCTAAAAAAAGTTAGGTATTTTTTCACGCCACATATTCATCCAGTGTTATTTTTAACGGATTGATACTAGTCTGTTATAACGAAAACAATTAAAATTTATAACTTACTTCTCTTAATAAGTGGATACAGCGTTTTGTAATCCGTTAAAACAGCCGTTTTAGAATCTCGAACTGCTGTCAAAGCGGATGACACTGTCATTACTTTAGTGTTTTGAAACTTTTTCTCAACGGTCTTGAGGTGTTTATCTGTAGTCAACTGATGGATCTGGGAAGTAATTAATTAGCTTGTTGCCTTAAAGACAGTGAAGAATATACGCAGCGTACTTATATGGAAAAAAATTACCATTTTGCGAATCTATTTTAAAAAAAGTATTTGATCTAACTTCAGTACCCTGTTGTATTATTATGTTGCACCATGGAGGCTACTAACAGTGGCGTATGTTTGTTATGTGTGGCTATAAGAAACGGTAGTTACGTACGTACGAAAGTTGAAAACATACTTATTTAATAAAACGCTGTGCCCGTGACTCCGTGATCGCGTGGAATTGTTAGTTTTTGGGCGCCATATTAACTATTTTTGAAAACAACCTTTAAAAACTATAGCTATAAGACATGACGTCGTATGCGTCCAGTTTTCATCGCGAGTAAATCTTAGGAGATATACATGTACTATCGTGGACATTTATAAGATAATTGAGCAAACAATAATTCTTTACTGATTTTTTTTTGATAACTTAAACCGTTTTAGTAATGCACGCCACAAAAGTCGCCAAAGATGAATGTTTTCCCCCTTTTTTTCACATTTTCCTAATTTTCGTTGGCTCGTATTGGCCTGATGTTTTATAGCTTTCCTCGATAAATGCTCTAACTAACACGAAAACATTTATATTTTTAATTCTAACCAATAGTTCCTGAGATAAGCACGTTCAAACAAACAAACTTTTTAACTTTATAATATATACAGCTGTATACGATCAAAATCTAACATAGACAGGATTCGAACCTGTGATTTTTCTAGATAATTTTCTTAAATAAAAATTACTCACTCGTCTATCCGTTATTAAATTCATATCCTTTATTATGACAAACTCGTAGTCGCTATTGGACAGATCTTTCAAGTCCATAATTCTGTCCTTGTCGTTCACTAGGTGTGAGAGCAGGTTGGATGTATAGAAACAGTGGATTATATATGCGCTAAAGATGAAAATAAAGTAGGCTATGCGACGCGAGCATAGATTCGCTTGGAGGGGTAAAACTAAAAAAATATAAATAATATTAATTAATTAAAATAATAATAATTACCAACTGATTGTTCAACATTGAAGAAGTCGAGAAGGGCTTGAAATATGTAGAAGAAATAGATAATACTATATCTTCAGCATAGTGCTTCCATAGATAAAAATATTGATACAAGCAGTCCAGGTTTCCAGGGCCTGGTGTTGGTGTAATAATAGGAATGCATGTTTAATAATCAATGGGCTCGAATCCCATCCTGGCTAACATATTTCTAATCATTACTTTATCTGGAACGTGTTGGTCTTTGTCTGAAAGTCTGGATATTTATTTAGCATTTCCGAATAAAAGTCAAAAACAGGTTGACAACGAATCTTATTAATAAAAAAAAAATTACGACACGGGCGTGACTTAAACCGTGATTTTTAATTTACATAATGCTTATGTGATAACTATTAAAATTTTGTAATTTATAAATAGCTACGAGCCTTACTTACGACATATCAAATCACAGTAAATGTTAAGAAAGTTACACGATTCAAACCGTGTGTGAATAAAAGGTTTTTTTACTTACTATGCTGACAAAACGCCGAGAAGGCCAGTAAAAATTCGTGATGTAAACAAGTCTCGCCACCTATTAGTCGTCTCTCCCAATAACTTAGGATATAGAAAACCACAGTACTCAGCAATAGGGTCCAAATTATAGATACCCACACGGGTATTGTAAAAGGTAGACTATAGAAGGTTTGGAGGCTTTTGTTTTGCTTGTAGCGGAGTAAGAAGCCGAAACTGTAGCAGATATAATTATATATATTAAACGGATATAAACACGATACATGACCGGCTCTGTAGCTAAATGGTTAAACGTTTTGTAGCTAAATGGTTAAGCGTGAGAGGTCCTGGGTTCGAATCCCGGGGAGACAGTAAATTGTTTCGGTCGGGGCAGGGCACAGAAGTCCGATCAATTACTTGCCTGTAAATAAAACCCGTTAACCTTACAATCATTTTCCCTGTTTTTTCCACACTACCCCCTGTTTCTTCGCTTTTATTAATTGCAGCGATATGGTTTATATCCTCGAAAAAATCTCTAAACAACGCAAAAAATATATTTTTCAATTCGAACTAGTAGTTTCTAAGATTAGCGCGTTCAAACAAACAAATGCTTCAGCTTTATATATTAGTAGGTATGTATAAGTTTCTACGTATACTAAATCTAGAGTGAACTACTGAAAAGTCGCGTTTTAGCAACCTATATTTTTCTTGCGAAAATTGGTAATTTTTTTGATTACTTTAAAAGCAATACAGTACAAATAAAGAACAAATAAGACGTGAATATTATCCTTAACAAATAATATAAGAAAGATAAAAGGCTCATACATACAAAATTTACAAACATACAACTTACCGCCACTGAAAAATAGAGTGTAGTGGGTATGCATCCGTCAAGTATTCCTCTTTTAAGGTCATCGGTCTTGCGTAGAAGTCTACTGAAGTGTTGCCGTGTGGCACCTCATAGTCTTCGTTGAAAGAGGAATCTCTTCGAACATACGTCATACTAACAAAAATGTTAGGCAAGATATATATTAAATACTGTCTGTAATTTACGCAAATAGGACATATTTAAGTAAAACACTGTAACGGTTTAAAACGCGATATATTTTAGTTAGTACTTGTTTGAAATATTTTTAACTACGGCCCTACGTTTCGGATGCTTTGCAGCAGCCGTTGTCACGGTTTAACATGTTTAACTAAAATATAATGCTTTTTAAACCGTTAAAGTGTTTTATTTAAAAGACATTTATTATTTATGACAGAAGAGGTCAGACAAGCATGAGGTTTTCTTCATGGAACGTAAAATACCTCAGCCACATAACGTCTAAACAAAACGCGTTGTCGGCCTATGTTTGGCTTTGGATTCGGAAATCCACAGACTAAAATCGTAACGCCATTAAACTTCAAGATTCTTCATCTGTTGATATTAATATCCACATTTCTCGGGAAGTCCAACACATTTACAAACATTTATAAATTGACTATAAACATTTCGGACCCAGTGGAGATCGAACCCGTGACCGTAAAAATACATTGTTACGACCAATGAGCCCGCCAATTCAACGTTAAGAGAAGTTAATTACAATGATAACGTACGCTGTGAATCAGGTATTCGTATCCAGCCTAAGTTATAAAATTCTTACATTTCAAATAATTTTGTTATAATCTTACTTAAATTGAAACATATCCTGTAACAGTTGTAGGACGTCGCAACCCAAGGCCGTTTGTTTCCACGTCGGGTCAAGTTCGTATTTTGATTTTAATGCGTCTATGTTGTCACATTTGAACAACGTACCGACAGTAAACGTTGTGTTCATCTTGATATAGTGACGATTTATTATTTCCTGGTAAAACCTGTAACCGTTTCAATGCTTAGAAAATTAATTTATACGTGAATCGAAATTTAAAACAATTATAATGTTAAGTAACGGACTAGATCAAAGATAAATAACCAACACGTCTTACTTTTTACCCTACCTTTGCTTGTCTGAATTGCTACATAGAATAGAAATTAATGGTATTCAAATATTTACCAGAGCATCGCGTGCTTTCAAATGTTTTTAAAGAATACAATAACAAGAGAAAGCTTTGTTTAACGAATATATGTGTTCGTTAACAACCTCGCTTGTGTAATAGTTAGTACAGTCGACAGAATACCGTGAGGTTTCAATTCCTGGGTTGAGCGCAGTACTCAGTATTTGCATTGTCTTACGAAATCTCTTATAAGAGGCAGTTTGTTTCCACTAATTCAGTGACAGTAGTCTTTAAGATCTTTGAACTCTTTAGAGAGAGAATATCATCAGCCCAGTTATATAGGGTGTTCAAAGATTAATAGATAAAAATGTAATGATTATTCTTCATTCACAAATCTCAATAGTGATTTCATGCAGATGGTAACATATAGAGTTTTAGCAGTTTTAAGCGTAAGTAATATACATACAAAAGAACATATCTATTATCCCAGTTGGTGTAATAATGTACAGGTAATGGCTATTCGATACCCACCAACACGTTTATTTATTTATTTATTATTGCTTTATTATTTATAAAACACACCACAGAAAATACACATAAATGAGGAAAAATCTTATGTGCTAACTTATAAATAAAAGGCGGCCTTATCGCTAAGCAGCGATCTCTTCCAGGCAACCCGAACCACGTTTAATACTTCGTCTTGAAAACTGGATATTAAATGGGTGGTAGAAATATTAAGTATCGATATAGCCCATCGAATTGGCAAGCTGAAGTGACAGTGGGGTGTGCACATCGCTCGTGGAACTGACGGCCGTTGGGGCAAAAAGGTTCTGGAGTGGAGACCACGTACTGGACGTCGTAAACCTGGACGACCTCCAGGTGGAATGACGAACTGGTCAAGGTAGCAGGGAAACGCTGGATTCTACTAGCAAACGACCGTTCGTACTGGAAGTCTATGGGGGAGGCCTATGTCCAGCTGTGGACACCGAACGGCTGAATCGAAGAAGGAACATCGAAAATCCATCCAGGTCACGAACGTTAATCGCGTTTCGTTTTTAGTCTGTGGATTTCACATTTCAAAGTAAATCACAAGTTTTACTTGTCATCGAGTTAACTCCACGCTTGTCTGTTCTAGTAATGGCTTTTATCGTAAAAATAATAATTGTAAAGTTTATCAATACACTTCGCAATAAATAAAAAATACTAAATTTATTTCGTAATGTATATTAAGAGACGCGTCATTGAAACAAAACGATAGTTTGCGATGAAAATGTCCAGTCCTTGTTCTATCAAATGTGCTGCAAAAGGCAGCTGCTTAATTGAAATCCTTTGCTGCAAAGAATAAATAATATAGACGTACTAGCTGACCCGGCAAATGTTGTTTGGCTATATTTAATTATTTATTTACAGCAATTAAAACGGCAATAGCCAGTTACATTAATTGGTAAAATTAATATTTACAATTATTTTTAGGGAATTTCTAGTTTGTAAGCATCTGTGAGTGAAAGAGAAAGCATGGAGCGTTATGAATGATAAGGACAGATAAAGATAATAAAAAACACCAAAATATTAACTTACTATAATATATTATCACTGGTAGACGCCTGGGATAATTTATCAAGAGTTAAATGTAATACTATCTGTAGTTTACGCGATTAGTACACATTTAAAAACTTTACCGTTTAAAACGCGACATATATTAGTTAAACTTATTGGTGGTTAAGCGATCACGGGCAACATTGGGTAGTACTTAAACTAATGTGTATCGCGTTTTAATCCGTTAAACTGTTTTATTTAAAAGCGATAGGTGATCAATTATCGAACAGGATGAAATATTTGAATTACTAATATGGCCATTAAACAATAGAAAATAGGTATTATTAGTGATGAACGAATAAAATTGTATGAGTTTTATGTTCAGTTATATATTATAGAAAAAAATGCTAAGGATGAACAACCCTTATCAACATAGGATTAAGAATAATGGATACTATCCGATTTACAGACGTACTGGATATGCAAATAAAATTTGGTAAAAGCAGGTAAGCCTTTTCGGAGGAGTAACGTAACTAACATTATGACACGAGAATTTTATAACTAATATTAATATTATAATTGTATTTATTGTCTGTTGTTTTTTTAATTTCACACAGTCACCGAAAACATAGCCTAAATATTTCTACCCCTTTAAGAGTCAACAGCTAGGTACCACCACCATCCACCGTTGGGTAGTTTAACATGTCTTGCAAATTACTTATAATAAAATCCACTAAACAGTACAGAACAAATAGACAAACTCTAATGCACATATTCTACTAGACTCGGTTCTGTACAAATAATCTTTGACTGTACACTACAATTACTATTGTCGTAAGAAAGATTCAATCCTTTAGAACAATATTGCGATACAATAGTTTGATTATTGTACTCCTTGCAAGTTATTATACATACAAATGGCATAGTTTACCGGAATTATATTAACGACAATATAACGATACGTCATTCATCCTTACAAATCCTTACTAAAATTATAAATGCGAAAGTAACTCTGTCTGTCTGTTACTCTTTCACGCCAAAACTACTGAACGAATTTGAATGAAATTTGGTACACATATGGTCTAGACCCTGAGAAAGGGCATATGCTACTTTTTATTGCGAAAAGGAGTTGTAAGGGGTTAAAAAATGGGGTGAAAGTTTGTATGGAAATTCGTGGTTTTTGAAGATAGAACATTAAAACTTTCTTCTTTGTTTCTCATAAACAGCAGAATGAGAATTAATACTTTCGCTCCAAATCTTCCAGGTTATGAAAACAGTGAAGAAAATTTATTTACATTTTCTAAGAAACAATCGGTTGATACCTTTTGTTCTATGGCTATTGTCTATAGACAAACATTGCTTCATTAACCTTGGTTTCCCCTGCGAAACATGTTTTTCCTAGTTATAGAGGTAATTGGAATATTTTCAACAATACAACTTTTAAACGTGGGACTATTTGGTTTCTTTGAAGCTTTTCAGTTTTTATTTTGCTGGAAAACATAACAACATTGAATAAGAAAGAAACATTGCTGTCTCGCTTGAAACCGCAAATATAGAGAAATGATTATGTATTCATCATTTAATACCTTAAATTACATAAATACAAGCTAACATTTGAAGTGTGAATAAATAACAGTAAGGGACATTGAATATTTTGAATTTCTGAACTATTTAAATAAAACACTTTCAACGGTTTTAAACGCGAAATATATTCGTTAGCTTCTATATCTACTTTAACTACTGCTCGGATGCTTCGCAGTTGTGACGGGTGCCTAATGATAGTTTAAATATGTTTAACTAATATTTTTACGTTTAAAGCCGTTAAAAGTGTTTAACTTAAATACTTTCAACTCTTCTTCAACAATATTTTACCATGATTTAGCTGCAGTTTTAAATTAAGTAAATCAAGTTTGCTTTAATATCGAAATTTGTCCAGTAATAACTTAACTAATGGAATGAGAGCATTTTTTGCGTAAATATGGAACGGTTCCAAGCTAAATAAATCCGGAATAATCCAATTAACCTTGCATGGGATCGTATGTTGCAAAGTTGAACCGATTGGGTATTATTATTCGTTTTTTAGTTTTAATTGATAAAACTTTGTGACTTTTGAGCTTATATGTACTTAGCTTATAAGGCTTTCATTATGAAGGGAAAATTTTCCTTTATGAAAGCTTTAAGCTTAAAAAAATGGATTGGAACGTTGGGTATTTGTGAAATTCTGAAATGATTAGAACAATTTGCTTTGTTTTTTTTTTATCAGTATAAAAGTACTGTTATGTATTTATTTGTACGTTAAACGTGTTAACTAGCATTTATTTAAGCCCGAGTCGTCCTAGGTTTGAATCTCAGGGAAACGATAAATACTTTCGGTCAGGCAAATACAATTCATTTATAGCTCTATCGTATACAAACACGAAAATTTAAATTGGGTAGGAAGTTAAGTCTACGAAGAGTAAAGGTTAAAATGTTTTCACGTAACATTTTCTGCATTTTTCTTACCAAGAGTTGCAATAATTTAGGTTAATAACTTACTTCTCTATTACTTGGTAAACTCATATTTTAAAATTAGCATAAAAAGATTTGGAATGTATGTTAATAAAAAACCTTATCTTCTCAATTTAAAAAATCTGTAGGTATATCATTTTGTTTGATATTCTATCTGAGTAATAAATAACTAATCTTAAGTAAAAGTTAATTACCCTACTTATAACGGACAGAGGAGAAAATTGTTTTCCAAGTCTACGCGGCTCGGCATAGTTAATTTTATAAGAAAAAAAGAAAGTTCTAGTACATCCAGTAAGCTTACCAATTACGTGATTGAAGTCGGCTAGAAGTCGGTTTTCATTGAAATTTGAAGCAGAACGAATAGTGATGCTCCTTAGCTGATAACAGATTTGTGAAGTTCTTTTCTTTCTACATTTTCACAGCGCACACAGCGGGAACCCTCCAAAATAAATCATTTTCTCCGTTTTTCCACATTCTCCACTCTATCTCCGCTCCTATTGGTTACATTCATATATAGCCAATAACCTTCCTTGATAAATGTTCTTACCAACAAAAAAAAAGTTTTCAATTCAAACCAATAGTTCCTGAGACTAGCGCCTTCAAACAAAGAAATAGCTTTATATATTAATATAGATAACCAATCGCCTAATTCTAATTGCACTTACGTAGCGGGTTTCATTATAAACCGCTCTAGCTTATGGATTGCATATGATCCTCGGCATTATATTGAGCATACAAAAATAAATGACACAAGTAAGAGAAAAACACATAATATATTAGTTAACTCATTTTCGTTAATTTTCACCATGTTAGCCGTTTCCTTATGGATGAACGATAACCCTAATGTCAAAAGTTGTATCTGGACAGGGATTAATTAATATAATTCGCATTTTAAACCGTTAAACGTGTTTCATACAAACTCATTGCATTGGAATTTGTATCTGAATGTTTCATCTAGATAGTTCGGATCCGACCGATTCGGTTACCCCAGGCATCCCTAAATACCTCAACTATAAAAGTGGAGCGTAAACTTTTGATTGCTCGAACGATGTTTCCTCAAGATCGCCGGCGGTCACTTGGGCCTTCAATGAACTTGTATTGACTTTATAAGTACTTGGAGACTGCAAGCTGATTGAATGAAAATATTGGCTTTGAACAAATGTCATTGGATTGCAAGAACATAGACTACAATAAAACGTTGAGATTTTCTTCACATGGAAAATATAGTCTATGATATCAAGAATACCAAACTCACTCCCCTAAAAAGTTCGTCACTCTTTCTCCCCGGGGAACACTGAAAACCGGCGCTTCTCCTCTATTATTGGGTGATGAAGCACGTGCTGTGCTTTCTCCCATTTTGCGAGCTCTCTTCTAACTTCTTTTTTTCTTCGTTTATAGGTTAGATCGATAGAGAGCGTCCAACATATTTCTGATCAATTTTTTCACAAACTTGGACTTCGTCAGGAAAGCTTGATATTAAGTGGATCGTAGAAATATCGAAATTTGATCAACAATCAAATGAAAAAAGTGAAGTTTAATCGCGTTCAGGTATCAGTCTGTGGATTCCCGAATATCCATGGGTCGACAGTGCATCTCGTTGTGACGTTACAAGGCTGGAGTATTTTAATCTTCCATCAAGTGTACATCGTGCTTGTCTGTCCTATATTAAGTAAAAAAAAAACTATCAGCTGATAGAGAATATGTAAAAATCCTTAATCTATGATATAGTGATATAATCTGTCCAGGCCCAAACTTAATTTGGCCGTCAACCCAAAAGCGTCAAGCAGACATTTCGTAAACAATTCTCGAATGATTTTCGCAAAAACGGATATTCAATAACAATAAGATAATATAGCAATATGCCGGCGTTAGACGACTTGCCTAATGTAACAAGCTTTTTTGGAGTTGATTTGAAAACTGGATCAATGATTGTGGCGGCTTTGGGAATTGTTTGTAGCCTTCTACACATTTTATTAACTAACTAGTTGTGGCCGTGACTTCGTCCACATCCCGAAGTTTTTACAAGTTAATCTCATACATGCTTACATTACAATTTTGGGTATCTTGTACCGTTTTGAGATTTGCATGTTCAAGCAAATAAACTCCTCGGCTTTATTATTTGGTATCGATAAGTGATTTCTTATCAATTTTCAAAATAATATAATTTTACAACTATATATCACCAACAAAACTAACTGACGTCATACAAAAACTGACTTGTTTTATTTGTTTGCCTTTTCTTGAACTGTTAAAGAGATTTTTCACTGTCAGATTGATTTAAGCAATAAATTACTTATATTAAAAAAGGCCAATAGTAAATTCTCCTTTCACTACTTTTAATAGAAGTACTAGGTACACATATGCATATTATATTTCAAAACATGCATTGTTATCCTGCGATGGTCAAGTAAGGAAAACGCCTCCAAATCCCAGATGTGGAATACGCGGCAAAATTGTATATAATCTGTCTTCTTCTTTTTTAGGTACATCCAATGGCGTATGGCTGTTCGTTTTTCATACCACTCAGTTACCTTCTAGTCACAGTTTGGATATTAGTAGCTCTATATTTTGCTGCAAGCGTTGTGCTGTTTTGGGGTTTAGCTAAGGTACGTACACTTTTAATAGATAATCTTAAACCTGCGATTTTAACAGCTATAAAATAAAATAAAAATGTACGCATGTCTATCATTGCTTTTCGGGCTGTTTGGCCCACGTGTTAGTACGCATGTTTGTTAAGTACGCTTGTAGTTTTACGCGAGTACACATTACAATAAAACACTCGGATGGCTTACAGCAGCCGTGTTTCTTCGTGATCGCGGCTACAGCGATTTGTAAACTAATTTAACTAATATAATTTGAATTTAAAACCGTTAAAGTGTTTCACTCAAACAAACAAGAGCCGACACAAACAACTTAACGGGGAATCTATGGCTCATAGGTTCAGCTCACACCGGGATCAACATGTCTCTCAAATCAATTAATATTTATTTCGAACATCTGGATCTTTACAATAAATAAAAAAATACAAAATGTTAAAATCCAAAATATAGTAACTATTTCAAAACATAATTTTTATTCAACTGTGGAATGAAATAAGAGAGCCGTTAGTCTGGGTGTATATTGAGCATAAACAATCTAAAAACAATTTCAAATAAAACTCAACGATATAACGAATTCGTAGAACCCGCTACGTAAGCTCTACGGCGTAGATCATTTTGATTACTTGTTGTCTCACGGTACTATAGAAGTTACGTAATTTCCAACGAATCGTGTAAAATATTAAATGTTTTAGTACACGTATTCAGCTAAAAACACATTTTGTTGTTTATTTATTTTGGAATATTTAATAAATATTTCTTATGTGTAAATCTTAACGAACTTTGAGTTATTAAAGATTTTTTTCTATAGGTTGGGACTAAATAATCTTTCTCTTAACTGATGCTCAATTAGGGCCAAATAAACTGATCTGTTTAGTTTACGTTACGTTATTTTAATTATACGTACATCTATAATAATAATATATAAAGTTGTTTGTTTGAACGCGCTAATCTCAGTAACTGGGAAAAATTAATTTTGTGTTGATTAGAACATTTAAGCTATAAAACATAGCATTGCGTCTAAGAACTAAGAAACAGTGGGGAAAACGGGAAGAATTATTAATCTTTATGGATTTCCGTTCCGTACGCTGCAAAAACGCTTCAAGATACCCAAAAATATATATGAAAGTATGACTTCTTTATGAATGATTTCGTTGGTAACAACTTACATCTATAAAGACAAATAGGAGGTTTGCGAAAACAAACTTTTGATGCCCTAATAGTAATTCTACAAGGACGAAGTCGCTGACACAGCTAGTGACAAATAATTATTTCATGGTTAATTTTTTAGGATGACGCTTACCTTTGTTCGGTATGGATATGGTACGCGTTGATATTCGTGGTGATAATGCTGATGATGATGATGCTCTTAGCCCTGGTCTTCACCTCCAGGAATCAGAGGAACCGGGTAGTAATCGTTATACTCGGTATGCTTTGGTATATATGTGAGTGAGAGTACTTTATAATATTATCTCGCAACTAGCAAACATTTATAAAACACATTAAAAGTAAAAAGGATGGTAGAACTATGAAGTAGTATCAATCTTAATATTAAAAAACTCTACATATTACTTCTATAGAACTACAGTGTTGTACTTACATTTTTGATCTATTCATTAATTGAGAAGTAGTCGCGCAACATCTCATGATGACGTCATCAATTCGTGATGACGTAACGTCGACAACCATTTTTCCATTACGAAACTGTCACTTAAATCTTTAAGCTTAACATTTGTTTACGCGAGTAGTACACATTTGAATAAGACACTTTTAACGTTTCAAAACGTGAAATTTATTAGTTAACTAATTTTAACTACGCTCCGACGTTGGATAGGGGACACGGATGCTTTGCAGCCGTCGTGTCCCCAATGACCACTGTTGCAATACGCTGCACGTTTTAAACCGTTAATATTGTTTCGTATATATGCGTAATTAGTTTAGAGTTTAGATTCATCTAATAGTCATCTTGCGTTTTAATTTTTAAAAAGTCATGAACTATTTCTTTTTTCAGTGACTATTTACTTTATTATCGTCGTGAACAGCTATCGGAAACAGCTGCTAGGCATGAACACATTGGCTGAACCCATTCTAGACAAGGATACGTGAATAAATTGTTTTATTTATAGACTTGTTTTTCTTATGTCATCTCTCCTATACTAGAAATTCTGCGTAACTGTAAAGTTTGTTCGTTAGTTATAATATAAGAAACCACCGGCGCATATGAAAAATATTGGAATATATATTTTAAAGAAATAATTTGCCGTGCAAAAATATATGTTTGAATGTTGAAAATATACAAAACCAATAATTATTTTATATGATATTTACAGCCAATAATAAATAATACACTTGTTAATATAATTATGCTAAGTTTGTATATTGATAGTAGTAACTTTTTCTCTTCCTTTAAGCTCCAACCAAAACCCACAACCAACTAGTACAATGTACAGTAGAATAACTGAAAATGAAATATCTTTTGTAATTATTTGTACATTACATGTTATATTCAGCATTTGTGATAATGAAGTTTTAATCTCGAAAGAAATATGGTTAAGTATTTGAACCCTCTAACGGTTTAAAACGCGAAATATATTGGTTAATTATTTTTTAACTATGATCTAGTATTTTAGGTACTTTTCAGCAGCCTTTGTAGCGAAGTAATATATTTCGCATTTTCAACTGTTGGAAGTATTTTCTTTTGGAATATACTTGTAATTTAAAAATCTATGGGCCTTTACCCAATTGAGCTACCGAGTCCTATACGTCAACCTCCCGGTTAACACAAAATATTTTTTCTTTGGTTTGGAATTCAGTAGTTTCAGTAAGACTTAACTAGTTGAATATTAGATATTCATACTTACTCATAGCAATTATTCCAAATATAAACGACAAAAGCCACGACACAAACTTTACTCTTGAACTGTACATACAAATGAGAACAATGAGAAGAACAAATGTTTGTCCTAGCCACATAGCAGTCACCACAACCCAGGACAGAACAACCAATGATTTTTCCTGTAAAAATTTACATAGAGTACTTTTTCTAACTTGGCAAAAGGTCCCAACAAACATGGCCGATTTAAAACCATAGACAACTAAAGATGCTCTTTTATAGAGTGAAGTTGTTGCCGGACAGCCGGATGGAAAAGATATCATAGACCAAACAACCTTAATATTAAAAATCACTTTTTATCACTATCTATTTTTTTAAATGTTATTATTATTTAACTCGACCATGAGGACACAAGGACCCACCTTTACCTTCTATTACAGTTGACTTTGCTTACATCCCATCCCTATATCTATCTAAGGAATTTAATTATGTTCCTTTAAGTAAATTCGTTTTTTAGGACTTTTATTAATTTAGCACGATGTTGTGGTTTTTACTAAGTGAAATTAAGTAGTTTATTAGTTTAATATATAATCCAGTGCCTCACACGCTTTTAGTGTAAATAACGGTTGCTTATTGAGTCTTAATAGGAAATTGATATTGTATTGTGCATTCTATTCTTCTTTCTTTTAATAATATTCAAAAATAATAAATGATACGTCAAATCGTGATTAGGCATGGAACCGGTCGAGTCGTTTTAGCGTGACACAATAATAACTCTTATAAATTTCCATCTAATGCTTGAGGAAAATCCCATTTCCCTTAAGTGCGACATGGGGTAGATACTTCTTGTTTTTCATTCTTCGTTTGTTTCATTGAAACCCTTATTATGCACGTCGTTGATCATTATTTTGTGTCCTCTCCAACCGAAACTTATTACTGTGTTCCCTCGGTATTTGAACTAATAGTATCGTAGAATTTTTAACTCGATGCATGCTTGCTTTTGTTTGTTTTTTATGATATAGGAGGACAAACTACCATGATGATGAGATCACTTGATGGAAGGTTAAATACGCCAGCCATATTACATTGCACACGATGTGCTGTCGACCTTTTGGCTTTGAATATTCACAGACATGTTGGGCCCAGAAGGACCCCACGACCCGTTGTCTATTAGATATACCTTAAATATAGATATTGTTACTATTAGACCAACGAGCTCGTCTTACCTCGCGTATGCCCCAAATGTACCAACTATGCACGCATAGCATGAATATAGAGTATATAATTCCGGTGACGCTGAAGCTATACGCGTTCCTCCAGACATAGGGCGAGCACACATCACAGTCTTTTATCGTCATCACTTCTATGAATAGAGCAAGACCACAACTTGCTGTTACGCACTGGAAATGGTTACGATGGTTTAAAAACTACCGTCACTTTTTTTTAATTAGTTGATGGTAAGCCAGGATGTAGACTAGGATGTTAGGTAATGACATATTAAACCTCTTATTCAGTCTGTTCTTGAATAAGACAGTAGAGTGGTGAAACAATTTGATTTGCATTTCTCTTTTTGTTCGATTGAAAACATGAGAAAGGTACAATACTTCAGTATCACAAAAGAAGTTCTGAGGTAAATTCAGTTGAAAACGCACTGTATTGGATCGAACTAAGCGGTACAAATTTAGAAGACAAATTCAGTTAAACAGACAAACATCGACCATACTGTTTTCATTAATAAGAATCATTAAACTACTTACTATCAAGGTAATACCCCCAAAAGTCGCGCCCAAGCTAAGGGGATATCGGCACAAGAATTTCTTTGGAGCTAATAATTTTAACATTTTAATTTTGTTACAACATTGTAACATTTATTTGAAGGTTGTGACACGTAAGCCAACTAGAATTGTGTTGGTGTGTGTTGGTGTGAACTACCTCCTTGGGTCTAGTGGTTAACGCACTGTACTTGTATGTATTGTAACATTTATGTCATAGGGGTTTGAAGCATGGGTTAGGCAAAATTTTATTTCGGTACAATATGGCTCCACAACGTTACGGTCTCAGCTATAATCAGTGATTTAGTGGTGGTAGTATTTAAGCATTTTGGACCAGTGTTTGAAACCCTCTCCAATGATAGAAAAGACCGTTGCCCAACAGTGGGACAGTATGAGAAGAAATGGGATAGTGAGTGAAATAAGTTGCAACGGTCTTTGTGACCTTTGAAGTGAGGTATAATAAATAATCATTATTGCTTAAATTAAAGGGTTTAGTTTATTGTATCATTCACACATTCACTTAATGTGAAAACAAAAAAGTTAGTATAGTGGGACTAAACTTTTCTATTTTCCTTATAATAAAAGCAAGTAAACAGTTACAATACATATACTTTTAATTAAATAGCTTTTTTAATAAGCCGTTGCCCAGCAGTGGATACTCATCGGCTGCAACAAAGAAGAATATCTGGGGGGGGGGGGGGGGTCGACTAATACAATTTAAATTAAGTATAAATGGCCTATGGACCTTTGAAACTTAAGGAGTAGATGAGGTAAGTAAAAAACACACTTTTCCGCTACGTAAGCAAGGTTTTCTATTTAAATGAAAACAATTGACATTTTTTTAGGTTTCAGCAACCCTTTATAAGTAAAAACGTGTCTGACAATGTCCTAAAAATACCATTTCAATCCTTAAAAGTTACAATTGTGTAAGTCCAACGGTTAAAGTGGTACTTCAGAACTGCTATTCAAAGTAAATAAAAGAGAGAAAATAAGTATCAAAGTTTTTTTTTTCGAAATTCTCTCCATAAATAATGAATTTATGAAGTATTTATGACTTCTAAAGTGTTTTTGTTCTTTCGAGTTGTGTTTGGAAATCTGGAAATTTGCTCAAACGCTTTTTGTCTTTGGAGTTACTCTTGTGTCGTTTCCTTGTCATTGGTATTCAAGTTTATTTTAATTTTGAAGAAAGTATAAATGTAAATTGATTAATACCTTTTTAAATTAATAAACCTTTAGACAATAAAAGTTTTTTTTTTAATTTTAGCTTTGTAGTTGACACTATTATAAAAGTCTTGATCGAAACACTGTGACGGTTTAAAACGCATAACATATTTAACTTATTTACAAATACTTTAAGTACAGCCCGACGTATTTAATGTATTTCACATTTTACAGTAAATATTTAGTCTTAACCAAGTCTAAACCTTTTTAAACATTTTTTAGCAAAGAATATTAATTTGATTATTATTAAGTTGGTTAATCTTGAAACAGACTATACATTGTTTAAATAAAATTTGGTGAGAGGAACTTACAAGATTTACCCCTCCATATCTAATGATAGAACATCATAAGATTTAATATTCATATATTTCCACCAATGCCAGCTGGCCCTAAGCCATAAGGAGTTGAAGAAGCAGTGGTGAGGAAATAAAGACCAGGGTTTCCCCCTTTAGAGTTTAATCCCATGTAAGTAATGCCATTGCTTGTACAATTACCATTTAGAAAGGATGTCCAGTTATCACATTTTCTAGCTGGAAAAAAAGTTTAAGATGTTTATTTCAACGTAAAGACGGCGAGTTAAGTGATCCTGGTCGACTTACATTTCTAGTACTGTTGATATTACCAATTTTTCAATTCGAACCAGTAGTTCCTGAGATTAGCGCTTTTAAGCATACAAACAAACAAACTCTTTAGCTTCAAATGAAGAATTTAACACAGCTTAAATAAACTAATAACATATATAAATTTATACCATTTATTTCTTTACTAACCAGGAAAATTTTGCTGATTATTAATTGACTCGGCGAACAATTCCCACGCCCGACTGTGGTCACACGTGGATAAGAAGCAACCGAGTTGAGACATTCCGTTGTTTGGGTAATAGTCTTTGTGGCCTGAAACAAGGGATAAAGTTTGGAAATGGGACGATTACACAATAAATAATATAAGAATTGTATAAATACAAGTTATTTTTCTGTGATGCAAAAGGGTATCGCTGCGACTCCGTTGTCTGACTGTTTGTCATTTAAATTAAACACAACAACGGTTTAAAATGCGAAATATATTAGTCAAAATTATTTGAAAATTATTTTATAATTCGGAATGCTTTGCAGCAGCAGTGCAGTATATTTCACGTTTTAAACCGTTATAGTGTTTTATTTAAATAGCTTTTTTAATATAATTAAAGCCTTTGCCTAGCAGTGGATACTCAGATCTGGGGGGGGGGTCGACTAATATAATTTTAATTAAATGTCTGTTTGTCTGTTGCTAGGCTGCATGCAAGGAACAGCTACACAGTTTTTACAAATGGGCATTGATATAACAATGAAAATAGAATGAAATCAATATCTACGGAGTTCCTTAAAACAAATGTCATTTTTCTTAAATAACAATAAACACTAACATGTAGTCACTTTTAAAAACTAAAAAAAAAATAGCAAAGAGAAATTATATGTATAGTAAATATATAAAGAATAAATAAAGTCAATTTTAGTAACAATTAGATGTTGGTTGATTATATATTTCTTAATATATATATATGCATATAGAAATCTCGGTTTCGAGTAAAATTTATTGCAACCAGAAACACTATGCATAAATGATTTTTGAAGTTATCCTCTTCTCTTGAATTATTTAGTTATTATTTTGCACTTGCGCTTCCTACGTAAATATGTAGACATCTACTACATGTCTACTTTCTATGTTTACCCAAGCACGTCCAAGGAACGTGACCAATATTTCGAGCCATCATATAATATGTACTTCTGTTTTTCATTTTTGCTAAGTATTGTTTCTCGTTTACGAGTTTAGTACACATAATTTAATGAATCTTTTAACGTTCATACGGATCAAGCTCCATGGGTAAAAAATGGTTACAAAAAAAAAAAAATTTTTGGTTTGGTGGGAACCCCGCACACACACACGCGCGCACACACCCGCACACACACGCACACAAGACACACGCACGCACACACACACACACAAAACGGCCCTTATCAGGGCCAGGAAGCTACACAGACAACCTCCACGTGGTGCATTCTGGAAACCATACTTAGGGAAAAACCAGGACCCCCAGGGGAAAAAAAAGGTTACCCACACCCTTCGGGAAAGCTCAAATAGTCTACATTGGTTAGAAATGCGTGATTAGGCACACTGAACGAAAAGAGGTTTTTTTCGATTTTCATATTCAAAATGGCGTTTGCGCCAATTTTTGTTATGATATTCGTGATAAGGAGGTCAAAATACATAAGTATACCAAATTTCAGAACGATCGGCGGTATGCGCTTTTCGGAAGTACACCCTTGATTTTAATTATTTGATTAAAAAAAGTGATCACAGGGGCGGATTCAGGGATCATGTATTTAAAAAACACCGATGGAAAATATTCAAATTTAAATAAATACTTTTAACCGCTTATACCGCGAAATGTGTCAATTGAAAATGTACAGTTTGCGTCTATGAATGCCGGTTTATGTCTCGGCGGTATCAATATTTTTAATCTTAAATGTTTTTTTTTGTGTATTACAGTAATGTAAAGGTGTTTACCTACTGGTTCGTTCAATCCAAGAATTCCAGCATTAGTATGGATGACGTCCACATAATCCGCGTCCGTCGGATCCAATCGACTGTCAAGACTGACGTTGCTGAAGCAGGGTCCGGCTGGGTCCAAGCCCGTGATCCTACCAAGGCGCTGTCCAGTGTCGCGGTATACCTCTTGTCCAGCTACTCCTGCGATATGGGCTCCAAGACTGTGTCCAATGAGATTTATTCGGTACGGTTTCTGGCCACCTGGTGTAAGAAAAACTTTGAAGTCTAAAAATCGATTATAAAATGAAAAAAATACTGCACGGGCAGGAGTGGAACAGGCGTCCACAGGGTTCCGTGTTGCTGCTCTAAGCGATTGAGCTATCGTGTTCTACACGTCATCTTCGAAGTTTAGAACTTATTGTACTTAACTTATATTATATTATAGTGTATTAACTACACTCGATTTTGACTATTGGAAATATACATTTTTTAACCGACTTCAAAAAAGTAGGTTTTAAATTCGATTCATATATTTTATGATTTTTGTATTTGGTAGCGCACAAATTAGTGGTGTGTGAACCAATTTCGATTATTATTATTTAAAAACTAGATGTTTTTATGCTTGCCTGTCCTCCTTTATCATATTTGTGATGCATGGACTTACGTTTTATGACGTCAGTCAGCAAGCCTCCCAGCCTCTCCCCCATAAACCTGACATACGTAGATGACCGGAAGTACTCCAAACCAATCACGTCTCGTCCGTCCAAAGCAAAAACTTTCACGTTGTGTTTCAAGAGCTCTGGTGCAATCGCCTGCACCATAATCCCATCGGAATTTTCCAAATAACCATGGATTAAGATGTATATCGACTTCGTCAGTAGCATGCGCGTGAGTGGCTCAGAAAAATTATACTTGGTGTTGCCACTTTTCGTAATAAGATCTAGATTTAGTTTATCGTTGAATACCGATTGATTCTTCTGTTGCATCTGCTCGTATGTTACTCCTAGTAAGTTTTTTAGGGTTTCACCTGAAAATAGCATTAAATTTATTCACAGGGAAAAAAAAAAAAAAAAAAAAGTATTAAGGGGGGGGGGGGGGGGGGGGGGGGGGGGGGGGGGGGGGGGGGGGGGGGGGGGGGGGGGGGGGGGGGGGAGGGAGGGATGTTTTTGTAAAAAAAAAAAAATAGGACGAGACAAAAAAAAAAATTAAATAAAAAAAAAGAAAAAAAAAAAAAAAAAAAAAAAAAAAAAAATATAAAAAAACACGGGGGGGGGGGGGGGGGGGGGGGGGGGGGCCCCCCCCCCCCCCCCCCCCCCCCCCCCCCCCCCCCCCCGGGGGGGGGGGAAAAAAAAAAAAAAAAAAAAAAAAAAAAAAAAAAAAAAAAAAAAAAAAAAAAAAAGTGGTATAAAAAAAAAAAAAAAAAGGGGGGGGGGGAAAAAAAAAGGGGAAACCCCAAAAAAAAAAAAAAAAAAAAAAAAAAAAAAAAAAAATTTAAAAAAAAAAAAAAAAAAAAAAAGGGGGGAAAAAAAAAAAAAAAGGGTGTTGTGGGGGGTAAAAAGGGAAAAAAAAACCCCCAAAAAAAAAAAAAAAAAAAAGGGGTTGCCTGGGTTGGGGGGGGGGGTTAAAAAAAAAACCGGAAAAAAAAAGGAAAACAGTGCCCGCCCTAACCTCCATGTCGGAAAATGGATTTTCATGTGGTATGATGAAGTCTAATAAAATTTTAAAACGGTTTGTAGACACATTAGACTTATAATGGTATTGTAAAATCTATACTAATGTATAAAGCTGAAGAGTTTGTTTGTTTGTATGAACACACTTATCTTAAGAACCATTGGTTTTATTTTTTTGTGTTGGTTAGAGCATTAATCGAAGCGAAGAAATAACGGTAAATGTAAAATGATGGGGAACAATATTCATCTTCTCTGGGTTTCCGTTACGTACACTATGAAAACGGTTCAAGATATCCAAAAAATATTAAATGATCTAAAATAATGCGACATTATCCATATCTCATATCATATCTCCATCTTGTAAGGTTACCTGCAAGAACGACTAAATACGGAAGACGTCGTGGGCTAACATTTATGCAGATGAAAAAGTGGTTTGCAAAAACAAATTGGATACTCAAAATAACTTTTTTAAACCACAGCTATAAATACATAATTTGTACTACTTTACAATGAATGTAATATTTTCAATGCGACTTCTTCAAAACAAAACTCAAAGTCATCAAGGGAACTAGACAATAGCTGTATTACCGAAAAAGCAAGAATTCTCAATTTGTACACAAATTGCTGAAAGAATTTTCATTGTAATGGAGGCTGAGAGCGGAAAGTACATTTCCTTATCGACAAAACCCTCAGAGATATCTGATATTTTCCATTTATTATCGTCAGAAGCCCATAAAGTGATAAACAGCGACATCGTGCCATAAAATTTCGTATTCAAGACAATGAAGACAAATTTTAGATTCAGTAAGTGTTATGAAGTTAGACACATTTTAATAAAGCACTTGAACGGTTTAAAACGCAAAATATATTGCGAAAACTTAGCGGCAGCCTCATAACATGATGATGTAAAGCGATTCAAACGTCGGGCCGTATCTAATTAATTTGTAAATAAGTTTAACTAATATATTTCGCGTTTTAAACCGTTAGCGTGTTTTATTTAAATGTATAAGATAATAAGTATATAGAACTGACTCAATATTTACTGCTAAATAGACGTAATATGCTTCTAATCAGTAAGAAAATAACGCGATGATAAAGCCTCAAGCTAGAAGTCACAGTTTATAAAATAAGAAATTTGAAAAGTATACAAAAAAATGTTTTGGATAAGATTAGATCAATAGAATAAGTATGTATATATTTTTACGATGTTTTGCTTATACCACAAGTACACATTTTTTAGATAAACATATTACGTCTATTTATAAAAGGTATTTTACATTTAGTATTTTAAATGTCTGTTGAACCCGTATTGTAAAACATTGTAGGTACCAAACATATTAGCATATATTTACCCTATAACAATGCAACCCTTTTCTAATAATATCGACCCATACATAAAAAAAATTTACATTTTTAAGCAATTTAGTTCCTAACCCAAGTACTAGCTGTGTCAGCGACTTCGGCCGCTAACTATTTATTTTGGGAATCAACATTTTTTTGCAAACCTGTTTATAAATTATAGCTATTAGCAACTACGTCATCCGCGCCCCGACGTTTTTGCAAGTAAATATTAACAGGTAGACATAATGTTCTGTGGACACTTGTTTAGAACAATTAAAAATGAATTCGTTCATACATATTTTTGGATAACTTGAACCGTTTACGCAGCGGTCGCATTGGAAACACTGGTTCGAATTGAAAAGGATATTTTAAATTGTACCCTAGTAGTTCCTTAGATTAGCGTGTTCAAACAAACAAACAATAAAACTCTTCAGCATTCATATTAGTATAGATTAATACTAATATATAGAACGTTGAACGAAGTCACTTTATCGATTTGTTTTTTTTTCTCTATCGTAACCTTACATCTGTCAGATCCTGCAGCCACTATTGGATGTATGGCAGGCAAAGCAGCATCCACGATCGATCTGAAGCTGAACTGAGCCGGTGCTGGCAAATTGGCCGCTTGTATCCCTAATATTAGAATCTGTAGAATATGTAGAAGTTCTAGACCAGCTGCAAAACGGAGAGATTCTAGGTTTATCAAGGTTAAAATTACATTGTGCGAGTGGTGCAGGCTTCAATAGGCTGAAAAAATACACGATGACGCATAGGGCACGGTCAATTGGTTAGAGCAACAGCAGGGAACGTTGTGGATGCCGAATTAAGTCCTCCTCGTGTCGTAATTTTTTATTTAAATTTCTAATCGATTTTTAATTTTAGGATATACGAATTTTACGATATACGCAGGATTGTGTAAGTCGATATGAACAGATATTAAATTATCTTTTGACTTTAGGTTAACATAAAGACACTAAATTATAAAATGTGCAATCAATCAGTTTCAAGCGCGAACTATATTCTGTAGTTTACGCGAGTAGTACACATTTGAATAAAACACTTTAACTTAGCAGCAGCCGTGGTCACGGGCAGCCGTGGTAACAATCTCCCCGTGACCACGGCTGCTGCAAAGAATCCGAAACGCCGGGCCGAAGTTAAAAATAATTTTCAAATAAGTTTAACTAATATATATCGCGTTTTAAACCGTTAAAGTGATATTTAAATATATTAGTAATTATTTAACAACGACCCCACGCTTACTTTACAATAAATAACGAGAAATCCCCGCTTCATAAAAAAAAATGAAACCAATATTGTTCTCGTTTGAATCCGTTTAACGGCCACTTCGTGGCTTTCTAATTAGTTGATGTATTTTTAAATGACAATTGTTATATATTAACATTAAATATGTGTTATCTTGGTATAATTATGGCTAATAATCAACGGGACATAAATTAGTCATTTTTCTGAATATTTCAATCTGGATATTTCAGCTATGATAAGAATAACGCAATTCAGTTCAGTCACGAACCACCGTCTACAGATGAAAATCTCCTTTCGGTTGTTACACTATGTATCATTGGATATCCAGGTTGGTTTATTTCATCTTCCATCAAGTGAAGCGTGTCTGTTTTCTCTATAATAAAAATTTATATTCTGTGTGCACGACGAGCCTAAAAGCTCGAATTTAGGAAGCAATAGTCAAAATACTCAGATATTCATTGGAATCCGAGGGGAAATCAAATGTAGAGCGGTCGGGGTGATCCGCACTATTATTCGCCTATGAGCTATTTGTGATTGGGGTATGGGGTATAACGAATGACAATTGTTTTCGCTCACTGACGTAGGTAACTCTGATATAGTTAAATAATGTGGCGTAGATGAGAATAGAATTTTTTATTTCACTCATTCAGTTATTAGGAGATTTTTAAAAAGTTAGAATTGTTAAGTTAATATTTTCTTTTAAGCTGTGATCAATTATGGTTTAAAAGCTAATTCTAATAATCTCAGAACGGACTTTACATATTGATTTATACTAAGTTTAGGTTTTAACTAATTTATTATTTTATTTACTTACGTGTCATTTTAACACACTAACAAGTGAGGCCCGATTTGACTAATATGAACCTACTCTATAAACTATCTAAAGTTGTTCACGAAAACTGTGGTCCTCGACAATACATATTATATAAAACATTATTTTACATTTTATTACTGATATATAAACAGACATAATATAAGCATTTTTAAATTAGAAATAAAAAAGTTAAGCGTATTGCCTAGCATTGCGTTAAGCGCGAGAGGTCCTGGGTTCAAATGCCAGGGAAACAATTTTTTTTTTCGGTCAGGCAGGGCACAAAAGTCTGATCAACTACTTGCCTGTTAAAGAAGGGATCAGTATATCGGACACAGAAATGTGTTCGATCCATGCCCCGCGATGGAGAAACGGGATTTCACACATTCATACATATACGTTAAGCGAACCAAAAAATAATCCTTTAAGAATTAAATAAAAGTTCTTGAGGACATTATTAGTATCATAAAAAATATAAAACGTTCAAGTTCATACTTTTAGTGGGCATAATTTCTATAAATAATGTGTACTTGTGTACCCATTTATATCATTCTGTTATTAGTTCCGCTTGAGTCTTTGTTGTATTGCAATTGTGTTACAGTTTTATATATATAAAGTACGTCATTTTAGGCTTATAACAAAATAAAGTAGGTCTCATTAATTTTTGTGAAACTCTAATCCGGTACAAAGATAACAGCAGTCGAGTGTACTAAGCACTTGTATTTTGAAGATAAAATTTGGCTTTGTACACAAACATTTTATGTGAAATATATTTGTTATTACAAATTTTGAGAATATTTTTTAATGGGAAGCCGAATTATGTTTTTACAAAGATTATTAGCAACTTGTAAAACGCAATTTGTGTACAAAAATATATCAATATATCTTTTATAAAATATTCGGATATTCAATTAATATAAACAAAGGTGAAAGAATATAAATAACATCTAAAACGACATGAATGTTTAATTTATTGAAAACTCATTTTCAATCCGTGGGTTTTAACTTCGTCTTGAACATTTTTTTAAAAGTTTATATTGTTTTCTTCTAATACAAGTATTCATAAATTTTTACTTCTAAAAGCAAGTGGGACGATATTCCCTATTTTTATTAGGACACAAAGACATTCTAATGTATTATAAAAATAAATTTTTAGCTTTCAAGGAGAACGATTGTTTTTGAATATGTATTCTCACGGAGTGTACTGCTTTACGTGCTACAAATGTACTTATATATTCTACATTGAGGGCGTATTCGTAGAAGTTGAATCGAGTATTAAAAATTGTTATTTTTATATTTGTACTCAAGAACTCTTTACTTATATATAAAAAACTGATATGTACAGCTTAAGAAAAAATGTAACGTCACACTTATTTTTTAAACCTTTAAAATAGTATATTTATCCAAAAAAGGTTTAATTGTCAAGCGTCAGAATATCGGTAAGGGTAAATTCTTCTTTTCCCCATCTTTCATATATTTTTATTTTTTGATTTAGCTTTTATTTCGTGTTGAATGATTCAGTGATGAATGCAGAAAATGAGTTAAAAATCTACCTTGATAAATTTAGACTAGGTGTCCGCGACTTCGTCCACATTGAATAGTTATTTTGGGCATCAAAATTTTTTTTCATTAATTTTCACCGTTTTTTTCACTTTTACTGCTGTTCGCTCCTATTATTACAACGGATTTTTATAGCCTGTTTCATCGATTAATCTTCCACTCAATTTTCAATTCTATGATTCTGAGATTACTCGTTCAAACAAAGAAACAAATTCATAGCTTTATATTTATTGTTTGATTGTATTTTCATAGCCGACAGCGCATCTTATTGATATATTATAGTGTGTTATTTAGACTTTATCAATTGAGATATATATTATCTCCATCTTCTCATATCTTCTTCTTCCAAAACAATATTCACCTCATCACATTTAGTATGTAATAAATTTTGTCTGTATAAGTAGAATTTTTAATGACTAATTTTAGGTTACTACCAATTTTTCCTAAACTCTTTTTCATATCTGGTTCTCGATCTAAAAAGTCGCTAGCGAGTTATAAAAAGCGTTTTCGACTTAACTATCAGAATAAGCCTGCCCAACATAATTTTTGCTACCGGAAAACTTAACAATTTGATAATCATGGCAATTCATGCTACTTGTTGAGTAGCAAATTTGATAATTTCATACCAATTTGTCGTGCAATTTTGAACCATTAGGTGGTATGTAATTATCATTATATTCATTACAGTAATCGAAATGGTTTAATTTAGGTTCAATTTCTGTTTAAAATGTTAGTCTTGTTTAGATCCTATTAAACGGATTTTTTTAAATTAACGTTCAAAAGGGCAATCAGCAAATACCAAAAAAATAATTTAAGATGACGTTTCTGCACAAGCAATGTATAAATGAGTTAACCGAGTTTTTTTTTTAATTTCGGTAATGTGTCTCATTGCCCTGTATGTGATTTGGGGTAGATACAAAGGATTATCTGTTCTGTTTCACTGAAATATTCTATTCACAGGCAAGTTTTAAAAAGACCTTTGTTGAACTAGCAAAAAGACCACAATCAATATGGCCGATTTCAAACCACAGAGAACTAGTTTACTAGTTAGTTACCTTTTTAGAGCAAAGTTGTTGTCACAGATGACGCAAAGAGAAAAAACATCGATTATAGATGAATCTGTCTGTCTGAGAATTTTATGTAGTTTAATATATAATCCAGTGTCTTAAAGTGTGTAAATCAAAGCAAACCTTATAAGAAATCACGATTTCGTGTAAATAATGTTTGTTTACCAAAAATGCCAAGTTAGAAAAATACACCAAACATAACATATGCAATTCGAGTGGATATATTAATGGTTAAACGTTAAAACGTATATATAAAAACGATTTTATTTAGAATAGGGAATCTTGTTTACTATCCAGGATCCATCTAAATTGGTAGACGTAGGCTATTTAAAGTATCCATGTAATTCTAAAATGGGGATGATCCAGCAAAGTTTTGTTTAGGATCGACCGTTTAAATTAGAATGTTGAGCAATAAATGCCGGCTCGTCCGCGTGGATTAGTTGTTATTGAGCAACAAAACTTGTCGGTCACTTCCCGTCGGACTAGCGAATTAATATTCAGCATAATATGTATTGTTGTCGAATTTTTTTTAGTTCTATTTAAAGGAGAATATTTCTTTGACACCTATTTTCAGTATCTTGAATCGTTATCACAATGGACACCATTAAAGGTACAAACAACTGTACCCGTTTTTCCACATTTTCGTCAGTTCCTTCGCTCTTATTACTGGCAGCCTTATGTTTTATAGCCTAAAGCCTTCCTCGATAAGCGGTTTGTCTCTTTTCACACAAAAACAATTTCCGCCAGTAGTGTCTTAGATTAGCGATTTTAAACGAACAAACTCTTCAGCCTTATAATATTAGCATACATATTGAGCTAGATAACCTTAGCTGATATATTTCGTTAAAAATTAATTGGCTATCCAATTACATAAGTGAGATTTTAATCACTGCTCTATTTGTGCCAATTTCTTGGACGCCCACTCAAACCATACTTTTATTCTTATTTTAGTTATTCATCTTACGCTATCATTTAAGGATTAGTTTTACGTGAATGAAAAAAAAATAAAAAAAAGCTGACACAACATCAGTTTTAAAATATTTATGTTAAGTATTTAGATTGATAATATGCAAACATATTTAAACATTATTACACATTTATTGTTTTACTTGCCACGATTTTATAATTATATTATTAACATATTGTTTAAATCATTTCTATTCAAATTAAAAATCTATAACAGATTGAAAAAAAAAATACGACACGGGCATGACTTGAACCGGCATCAAAGTTTGTGCGTTGCTCTAACTAATGGAACGAGCGTGTCCGTCCGTCATTGTCCAAGATTTTTAACCGATTGATACACGCATATCTTGCGCTAAGTAACTTCAACCCTAACACTTGTTTATTAGTGCTTTGCAGCTTATACAATTTTTGAAGATAAACTTACAAAGTGTAACATTTGATAACTCTAATAATTTTCACATGTTGGCAAAAATAATCGTTTATAAACTGAATCTAATTACACATTACTTTTGTGCGGAGTATAGATGTTATTTATTCGTTAAAATTATTCTATAGTGAAAACAAGAACGCAACTTAAAAACACTGAATCGACATTAAGATTAAAAACATAATACCTTCTGTATTCCGTGCAATTGTGTAAAGGAAGGGAAATATTAAGGTAATTTTGGGGTTATTAAACGTTTGGCTTCGTGCTGTGTGGCCTATCGTCGAATTGCTGGTTAAAGCCACTTGTTTAATATAATGACAAAATTACTTGAATGAACGCCTAATATATTATTAGGCTTTTTACATCTGACGCAGTCTGCGATAAGACTTAATAACAATACGCCGGTCTGTGTGCATTATTGTATAGCACGGTGATTTATCTGTAAGTTTTATATTGAGTGTTTGAAAAGTAATCATGGATAAAGTCGTATTCAAGATTAACGGTATAGAATATAAAAGTAAGTACGTAGATTTAAAATCTATACTAATATATAAAGCTTAAGAGTATGTTTGTATGTTTGAACGCGCTCAGGAACTACGGATTCGAATTTAAAAAAATCATGTTTGTGTTTGTTAAAACATTTATCAAGGAAGGCTATTAAACATTGCCCTGTGACTAATACGAGCAAAGATACAACGAAAATGTGAAAAAAAATGGGAAAATTATTCATCACAATGGGTTTCGAGGCGTACGCTGCAAATACGGTTCAAGATCCCCGAAAAATATGTTGGATAGAATGATTTCTCTTTAAATGATCGAAAAAAAAGTCCGCGACAGTATATGTAAATCTTGTAAGATTAACTTGCATGAACGACGGAACGCGGACGACGTCGTGGGTAACAGCTTAAACTTATAGAATTGAAGAGGTTTGCAAAAACAAAAATTAATACCGAAAGTAACTATTCTGCCCGTACGAAGTCGCTAACTCAGCTAATAATTAATTAGAAGAAAAAAAATTCTTGCCCTAGTGTAATAATATTGTTACTGAATCTAGAATCAGATGTTTGCTTTTAAACGGTTAAAATAAAACACTTTAACGGTTTAAAACGCGATGTATGTATGTTAAACTAATTTGAAAATATTTTTTAACTACGGTCCGACGTTTCAGATGCTTTAAGTTTAACTAATATATATCGCGCTTTAAACAGTTAAAGTGTTTTATTTAAGTGCAGATTTAAAACATTTTTTTTATTTGAATTAAAAATATAGTTGGCGGAGAATACAGCCTGGACTTCACGTTAAACGAATTTATAAGAACTGTAGCGGATTTGCGCGGCACCAAAGTGATGTGCCGCGAAGGAGGCTGCGGCGCATGTATCGTTTCCGTGAAAGCCTCCGCGCCACCCACTAACGAACTCACAACTTTCGCCGTTAACTCCGTAAGTTTCCGATGATAGCTATAATTATATTTTACGAGTTTGTTTATGCGAAACTCGGTTTGACATGTTTCTTATGAAATTAGAGATAATTTTTTTTGGATGTTGGTATTAATATTGTAACTATTAAGTTACTTCAAAGGCCAGTTTCACAGCTATGGAAAACAATTGATATAAGCCTAACAATATAATATTATAAATAGTTATTTCATTATTTAGATTTTAGATATTATCTGTACAACAATCTGCTTAACGTAAAAACAATATAGTTTCTTTAATTCTATGTAATTTTTGACAAAATAATATAGAGGATCAAATCGCAAAGTGAAAACTCCACTGAAAGAAAAAAAATATAATTACATACTCTATTAATATTAAATTATAATATGAAATAAATTTGATGTCTATACAAAGCTATTTCAATTCTAGAATAAAAAAAGCTAGAGTTAGAGTTTTTTTGTTTGTTTGAACGCGCTAATCTCAGGAACTACTGGTTCGAATTTAAAACTTATTTTTGTGTTGGATAGAGCATTAATTGGGGTAGGCCTTGGCTATAACATCAGATCGCCACAGATAGCAGCGAAGGAAGGAAATAGGAAAATATTCAACTTTGACTGCTCTCGTTGCGTGCACTGCGTAAAACAGTTCAAGATATCGAAAAACTGTGTATGAAAGAATGATTTCTCTTCCAGTGATCTAAAAAATGTCTGCGACAGTAGGTATATCTTTTAGGATTAGCTCGCAAGAATCGTTTATATGTTAAGTAATAATTGCGCCTGAATCATTATACTGCATATGGCAAAAAATCGTTTGCCAGGTCAACTAGTACTAGTAAAAAGAATAGCTTATCTGTTTTATAAATAACTAGGAAATTACTTCGCTGGGGCTGTGACCCACAACGGTCCCAAGCACTGTTTACCAGAGATCATCTTTTTTATTTCAGTGCTTAGTCTCCATATTCTCATGCCACGGATGGGACATCATTACAGTAGAAGGTGTCGGCAACAGAAGAATAGGGTACCACGCTATACAGCAACGGCTTGCCAATCTAAATGGGACCCAATGTGGGTTTTGCACTCCCGGATGGATAATGAGTATGTATAGGTAAGTGACATATCGTAAGTAAGTGATTTACACTTACCGAAAAAGAAATAGAGGTGGGTAGATAAGTACAATGTTATCTTGCTTGAAGTTGGGTATTTCAACTTCTACGAAGAGATCTATTCTATTAACACTAAACATGATCACAAAAACGTTCATAATAGAACTTACCCTTACATAAGTAAACCTTTTATGAATCTCTATAATTCAGCCTGTGTTTTCAGTAATACTGAAATTACTGTCTGTAGTTAACGCGAGTAGTACACTTTTAAACACAACATTTTAACGGCTTAGAACGAGAAATATAGTAGTTAAGCTTCTTTAAAAAACACTGTTAACTACGCCCCGACGTTTCGGATGGTTTGCAGCAACCGTGGTCGCAGGATAAGTGACTAGCGTGGATAAGTTTAACTAATACAAAGTACTAAATAAAGTTAGTCCTTTATATCCTGAAATTTTTAATCTCTTTCAGTTTATACGAATCGAAGAAGAACGCTTTAACATCGAAAGAAATTGAAAATTCTTTCGCCAGCAACATCTGTAGGTGCACAGGTTACAGATCTATAGCCGATGCCTTCAAATCATTCGCGAATGACGCTAGTGACGCCATTAAGCAGCAGGTCATTGACCTGGAAGATATCGCTACTTCGAAATGTAAGGGGTGCAAGAGTGATGAAGAATCGTGGTGTATAATCGAAACTAATAACAATATAAAAAAGGAAATCGATAGTGACGGTCAGAAATGGTACAGAGCTACAAAGCTGGAAGATGTGTTTCAAGCTATGAAGAGTGGGGATTACAGAATAATAGCTGGCAATACGGGACAAGGTACGTTTATATTGAAAAACTCGCTGTGTCAGTGACTTCGTTTGCGTAGAAGAGTTATTGTGGGTATCAAAATTTGTTTTTGCAAACCTCCTTTTCAATTTTATAGATTTAGGCTTACTTAAGTTACCTACGACGTGGGTCGAATCCCGTCGTTCTTACAAATTAATCTTTAAAGGTAGACATATAGTGTTGGGGACATTATTTTACATAATTTAAAATGCATTTTCGCAGCGTACGCATTGGAAACCCACAAAGAGATACACCGCACCACAAGATAATTTACCCCATTTTTTCTACATTTCTCGCTGTATCTTCGCTCCTATTAGTCACAGCACGATCTTTTAAGCCTCTTTTTATTGCTCTAACCTACACAAAAATATTTTTTCCATGTGAACCAGTAGTTCTTGAGATTAGCGCGTTCCAACTAACAAAGAAACTCTTCAGCTCTTTATATAAGTATAGATATGTTTGCTGTTGTAGGTGTTTATAGCTATTCTGATCAGCCAAAGACCATAATAGACATTTCAAATGTGACTGAGTTAAAAGGACATGAGCTAGAAGTCAATTTGGTTCTTGGATCAGCCGTGACTCTCAATGAAATGATGGACGTATTTCTCAAGCTATCAGAAGATAACGAAGATTTCTCCTACCTCAAACAGTTATGGGAACACATGGACCTTGTTGCTCATATACCAGTTAGAAATGTCAGTGTTAATATAATAAAAATATACTGTCTGTAGTTTACGTGAGTAGTACACATTTAAAACACTTTAACGGTTTAAAACGCGAAGTTTATTAGAGAAAATTTATTTAGAAATTATTTTAACTACGGCCCGACATTTGGTGATGTCGTTTAAACCGACAAAGTGTGTTAATTTTTTTTTTAATAACCCGCTAATTATTATTAAGAGTCTCTAGGTCCGTTTCATTTCACGATTTTATAAAAGTAATTAAATTATAGAAATAACGGTTCAAAACGCGAAATATATTAGTGAACTTATTTTAAATTTATTTTAACAAGGCTCGAAGTTTCGGTAAAATTAATCAAATATAAGTCGACTAATGTATTTCGCGTTGTTAACTGTTAAGTGTTTTGTTTTAATATGTACTACTCGAATAACGAACTAGACAATACTTAAAGTAATTTTATTTAAGATATTATACAACAAAACCTTACTATTTATTGAACAGACCTCCTTTGTCCTGCCTGCCTGGAACAGTCTATTATTTTTCTGCGACTTGAACCCCGGACATACGCAGCCACTGAGTCGGTCAGATATCATTTTAAACGCACACAATATAAAATTATTTATAAACAAAACAGTTTGAAAGAAGAAGAAGTAATTTCAAATAATTGCTGTATAATTTCAGATTGGTACTATTGGTGGTAACTTATTTATGAAACACAGGCACAACGAATTTCAATCAGACCTCTTTGTTCTTTTTGAAACGGTTGGAGGAATGATAACTATAGGTAAAACTATAATTATATACTTACATAGCTATTTTAATGCAAGTGATTGTATTATAATTATTTTATTTAATCTAAGCGTAAGATCCCATAGACAATGTTGTGTTAAGTCTTTAAACGCAAAATGTATTTTCTGATTTAGCGGAAGGTGTCGGAAAGTACAAGAAGATAACTTTCCCGGAATTCCTAAAACTCGACATGAACAAGAAGTTGATATTTAACGTGTTATTGCCTCCTTTGTCAAATTGTTGTTCTGTGAAAACATACAAGGTAAATTATATTAAGCGAACTCATTATTAATTTAATGCATGACAAGTAAAAATGAGAATTAATATCCCGTCCGCGACATTATATTCTTTAAATCTACATCTATACTAATATATAAAACTGAAGAGTTTGTTTGTTTGGTTGAACGCGCTAATCTCAGGAACTACGGGTTCGAATTGATTTCAAATACTGGTCTTCAGAGCAAATAAATTAATACAAAAATACCTGGACTGACCATCACTCACATAAAACATAATAACTGAACAATTAACAGCATACAGCTCGACCGGCTGAAAATAATTCGAAGTCTGGAACCAGCGACACATTTCATAGTCAACTTTGTTTCAGATAATGCCACGATCCCAGAATTCCCATGCTTTTGTCAACGCTGGTATTTTATTACAATTCCATTGGAATTCACAAGTTCTCGAGAAAGCTAATATAATTTACGGCGGTATTTCTCCCAGCTTTATACACGCATCCAAAACTGAAATGGCTCTTATCGGGAAAGATCCATATACAAATGAAGCTTTAGAAATAGCATTGAAAACATTAGCTGAAGAAGTTAATCCAACGGGGAAGGAACCCGAGCCTTCTGTAGAGTATCGAAAAATGTTAGCTATAAGTTTGTTTTACAAAGCAATATTAAGTCTATGTCCGAATGACAAAATAAATCCGATTTACCGATCGGGTGGGGATGTGTTTAAGCGAGAAGTTTCCAAAGGTAGCCAGCACTTTGATACTGACAAAGCTTTATGGCCGTTAAATAAGCCTGTTAAAAAATTAGAAGCAATGCTACAATGTAGTGGAGAGCTGGTATTCACTAATGCCTTAAAAAAACAAGGAAACGAAGTATACGCTGCGTTTGTCACGGCAGATGTTGCACCGGGAAGCATTATTGATAATTTTGACACAACAGAAGCCTTTGTAAGTAAATACATCCTATTAATAAAATTTTCACTTGTACGAATTTTACACTACGACTATTCGTTTCGGATGTTATTAGTAGCCATGTACTAACAATGAGAACAACATTTTACGTATATCTTATAGTTATGGTTATACTAATAAAAACGTAATAACATTGTGATGACCAAACGTAAAATCAATTTTTTATTTCAATTCTTTGCTTTCTAGAAAGTTCCTGGCGTGGTTGCTTTCTACACTGCTAAAGATATTCCAGGAAAGAACACCTTTACATCACCCATGGAACTTACCCTAATAGTGGTAGACGAAGAATTATTGTGTTCTGAAAAGGTTATGTACCATGGTCAACCGGCTGGGATAATAGTCGCTACTAGAGAGAAAAATGCCAACACAGCATCCAAATTGGTGAAAATTAATTACAAATCGATCAATGATAGGAAGCCTTTATTATCAGTCGATGATATTTTAAAATCTTCTGAAACAAGTACAAGGATTATAAATAACAAGACGATAGAGCCTACAAACATAGGCAACGATGTTAAAAGTGTAATCAAAGGTGAATTCAAAATGGGAGATCAATATCACTTCTACATAGAACCTCAAACATGTATCGCAAAACCGATAAACGATGGAATGGAGGTGTATTCAGCGACTCAGTGGCTCGACTTAACAAATATATCTGTAGCGAATTGTCTCAATGTTCCTGTAAATAGGTATGTTTTTATAACAAGTGAAATATTTTCTCGATTGGGGTACGGGACGGCCATATTTCAATTTTACAGATCGATGTTAGGTGTTATTTAAATTTGTTCTGCATACCAACACAGTATGCTTTTCAGGAACTCACTCAGCGTCCCGTAGACAAACCTAAGCAGATTTTTCTTCTTACACAAACATATTTTTCTTATTAAGATATAACTTAAAGTGTATCTATCTTTTCAGCAAACTAAGGTAAAATTAGCTTAATTATAGATCCCCAAATATAGGCTCCATAAAATATCTTATTTATTTGCGGGGAATTGTATTCATATGTATAATACATTGCCAGTCGAGATTTCTGATTTGTCGATAAATAAATTTTAGAAAGTTGTAAAATTTAGATTGTCTCAAAAGGCGTATTATTGTCTGAACGATTTCTTTAGTGACAAGACCGCCTGGCAGTATATATATATATATGAATTGCTCCTGTTAATAAATTTATAAAAATGTATTAGTTTATAGGACATGTTAAAAAAGCCGGACTGAGTTTCTTGGGTGTTTCTCCCTTCTGCTGAAGAAAATAAAGTATATTTTATTTAATTCTATTGTTATTTTATAACTTTTATATCTGTGAAGTATCCCATCCCCTTGTATTACGATTTTTTTTACAACTTATGTACCGTCTGATTGAGAATATTATATAAGATCATATTATCTACATTCAGCTTGTATTATGTGTTATATATTGATTTCAGTATCAACGTTATAGTCCAGAAAGTGGGTGGATCTTACGGAGGAAAAATCAGTCGTTCTGTACAAGTCGCATGCGCAGCGGCGCTAGTAGCGCATTTACTAGATACCACGTGTAGACTTATTTTACCATTGCAAACGAACATGATGTGTGCAGGAAAGCGAGTACCTACACAAAATTCTTTCGAGGTAATATGTGGCAAATATTATTAACTAGGTAGGACCAGAAAATATTTTTTGTAAAAATGAGAAAAAAATTAAACGTAAAGGTGATATGAATGTAGAAAAAGTAAACAAACTTGACAAAATTATAATTTACTATTTTGTTCTGTCTGTCTATGTTTTTATTTGTAAAGTGGGCTTAGTCACGGGCAGCGTATTTTATTTCATTGAAATCGGTTGCCAGCGAATGTAATAATACTGCTACAAAATACTTAAATTTTGTAAATAGTAGTCGAGCTATAATTGCATTTACATTTTTAATTAATTACTAATATGTATGTATATTTAAATTTTAAGGTGGGCGTTAATCATAAAGGAGTTATTCAATACCTAAAAACTACATTTTATCAAGACAAAGGACACTCTAAAAATGAAATGACTTCTGGATTTACGCTCCACCACATTGGTAACTGTTATGATACGAAAAGTTGGCAAATCGTTGCTAATACTGCCTTGACCGACAAGCCTTCCAATACTTGGTGCAGAGCCCCAGGTTAGTATAAAATACAAGTAATTAAATTTATTCTGTGCTAAGGCTGAAGTAGGTATTTAATCTGTTGAGTATATTATTGCAGGATCTGCCGAAGGAGTAGCAATGACAGAAAACATAATGGAAAAAATCGCTTACGAAACAGGAATAGATCCTATCGAGATTCGTATAGCGAATCTAAACGATCAAACCAATCCAATAAAAGAAATGATAACTCAATTAAAAGCCGATGCTGACTATGATAATCGATTAGAGAAATCCAAAGAGTTCAACATTAAAAACCGATGGAGGAAGAGAGCGATCAAAATGGCGCTGATGCAATACGACGTTTTTTTCTTTGGGAATTACAATTCAATTGTTTCCATTTACCACGGTGACGGCAGCGTTGCTATAATCCATGGTGGTATTGAAATGGGCCAAGGTTTGAATACAAAAGTTGCACAAGTCTGCGCATATACATTGGGCATACCGTTAGAAAAAGTCAGTATAAAAGCATCGACCAGCCACACGTCACCTAATACTATGACTACAGGTGGTAGTATTGGTAGCGAATGTGTATCGTACGCTACAATAAAAGCTTGTGAAGTATTATTAGAAAGATTAGCACCTTTTAGGCAAAAGGGGGCACTTACATGGGAACGGCTAATAGCTGATGCTTTTAATGCCGGAATTGACTTACAAGCATCTTACATGTATTCGGCACTGAATGATGATATTAAGCCGTATTGTATATACGGTGTGTGCGCATTGGAAGTCGAAATAGATATATTGACAGGAAACCATAATGTGATGAGAGTAGATTTACTTGAAGATACTGGCAGGAGTTTGAGTCCCCTGATAGATATAACACAGGTGAGTGAAAAAAATATTTTTAATGTAATCAGTAATTCGTGAAATCTTAAAAATAAATAAGATTTAAATCATAATGCGAGCGATGTGGATAATATTAAATCGATTGATGTTGGACGCAATACGGTAGCTTGTTAGGTTCAGAACCAACACAGTAAGTTCTTGCTGTAGGTTTGAGTTCTGGTTGTGTCGTTGATTCAATTTGAGACATTATTATTCTATGCTTTAAATAATAACAACTATGCACATATATTTACTAAGTTACTTTAAATACTGTCTATAGTTTACGCGAGTAGTACATATTTAAATAACACACTTTAACGGTTTAAAACGCGATATATTAGTTAAACTTATTTGAAAATGATTTTTAATCGGCCCGAGCGGCTTTGCAGCAGCCGTGGTCACGGGGAAAAGAGGAGTTACGTCAAAGTAAAAATTCGTTCGTTTGATCGCCAAAAATCCTCGAAGGAGAGTAGTTTTTTTTTCAAGATTAGTAGCGAAGAAATTGAAATCAAAAAACACCGAAATTAAGGAAGGACGGGCTCAAATTATCAAACACCTGGGATCCCATATTAAAAACTCTGGATCCCAATAAGCTCCGCAAACGTGAAGACACCGTAAGTCAATTTGCAAGGACCGCCAGTTTCGCAAATACCAACTTGACGGAAAGATGCTAGCGTAGCAATTTTTACTTTGACTAAAACCCTCCATCTTAGTCTCCCCGTGACCACGTGGAAGATGAAACTGGCAGTTAAAAATCATTTTCAAATAAGTTTAACTAAATATGTTTTAGTCTTTTATTTAAATAAGTTACTGTAAGATTAATGCTACTTTAAGCTAAGCTGTTTAAAATCATCATGAAATGCTAAATATTAGCAGACAAATAAACAATGCAAGCCTAGCATATTCAAATAAAATCCTCTTTTAACTAAGTTGACACTTAGTTAAATTTTTTTTTACTTCTAAATATTTATGAATTAGAATTTTATGTAACACGAGAAGTCTTACGTACTAATCTTGGAGAAAAACTTTGTTTTAAATATAGTAAGTAGTAAAAATACATTCTGAACTATGTGGATTAAATTTAAGACCAGTACTATTTTGACAAATTAATATGTTTTTCGCCATACAGTTTAAAATTACGTTTTTTTTCATTTATAGATAGAGGGCGCTTTTGTAATGGGTTTAGGATACTGGACATCTGAAAAGCTTGTGTACGACAACGCTACTGGCAGACTTCTAACTGATGGTACATGGACGTACAAACCACCAGGGATCAAAGATATTCCAGCAGATATGAGGATTTACTTCTCCAAGAACACTAAAAATGAGTTTGGTGTTTTGCAGTCTAAAGGTGAATTTTATCATGAGAATTATTTAATCTTTAATATTTCCTGATACTTTTACAAAGTTAAAATATTTTAATCTACTATGTCAAGTAGAATGGTATTTATATATTATATTGAAATGTTGAAACTACCCACAATCAACAACGTACCAAGAATTCTAAAATACTATTTTCTCTACAAGATAAAAATCTATTAAGATGACACGACACGAACAGGATTTGAACCTGCCCTCGTTTCGTACCGCTGCTGTTACTCTCTTTAGCGGCTTGTAATTAAATTTTTGACACTTACGTATTAGATTGTTCAAGAGATGTGCTAAACAAACACAATAAAATTTAAATACAACACTTTAACGGTTTAAAACGCGATATCTTTATTTAACTTATTTGAAAACTATGGTAACTACGGCCCGACGTTTCGGATACTCTATAGCAGACATGGTCACGGGGAGACTTAAAAAAAATGTAATTAATAAATTTCAGCCACTGGTGAGCCAGCGTTATGCCTTGCAACAGTTGTTATACACGCAATTCGTGAAGCCGTACGATCAGCACGCTTGGATGCTGGCTACCCCGATCAGTGGTTGCAAATTGGTACGTTAATGTTCGACTGGATATTGAATTATTACAAATACAAATGCTTATTTTCAAAAAAAAAAAATGTTTGCAATTCGCGTTAGGGTACACTAACTCCCACAGTAGGATTCGTCGTGTAACTGCATACTAAGTTCTTACATGCTAAGTAATATAATAGTTATTCGAAAATCCGCAGACTGCATCGGAAACGCGATTAAGCTTCACGGTTCTTTCATCTGTGGACGGTGGTTCTTGCTACCATTACCAACGAGGCCGTCAAAATTATTAATATAGTGAAGAAAAATGACACTTACATATATAGGATACATTAAAAGTCAACTTTAAAAGAAACACTATACTTTTCGTTTGAGTAGATAATGGTCGATTTCGATGTAATGTGCGCTGTATTAAATCTATCATTCGCTTCTCATCAGGCATTTATAAATCGTTTTTGACCTAGCATCTGCAATATTTGATGACGAACAACCGTCCGCAGGTGGAAAATAATTATTAAATTCTGCCACAACATTTTAAACTGGGCGAGCGGAGATATTTATTATATATATTATATTTTTACAGATAATCCCTGCACAGTCGAGAACATATTTATGGCAGTTGGACACAAGATTGAAGATTTTAAGTTGAAATAATTTCTTATTAATAAAAAAAAATATAAAATATTTTTTGTTTAGAGAAATATTGAAGTTTTATGCTTCTCTATTCTTATTACTAAGTCTTTCCTTTCATTCGTTGTTGTTGTGTGTTTTAATATATTTATTTAGCATATTGTTGGGATCCTCTTAAAAAATATTTTGACAAACACTATCTATTAACTTGTTAATAAATAAATTAGTAGTTCAAGTAGTGTCTGGAGTTTACGCGAGTAGTACACATTTAAATAAAACACTTTAACGGTTTCAAAACGTGATTTATATTAGTTTAACTTATTTTAACTATCTAACGCTTTGCAGCCGTGGTCACGGGGAAACTAAAGATAGTACACATTTAAATAAAACACTTTAACGGTTTAAAACGCGATATATTAGTTAAACTTATTTAAAAATGATTTCTAACTTCGGCCCGACGTTTCTGATGCTTTGTAGCAGCCGTGGTCATGGGGAGACTAAAGATGGAGCCGAAGTTAAAAATCATTTTTAAATAAGTTTAACTAATAAATCGCGTTTTAAACCGTTAAAGTGTTTTATTTAAATGTGTACTAGTCGCGTAAACTATAGACAGTATTTAAAGATTGTATTTCATTTTAACTAGTAGTTTGTTGTATTTTTTTTTTGTTACCTTAAACATAGTTATAATGTTAGCTAAGCATACCATAAATGTCTAAGTGTTGTTTTAATTTTGTCTAATACCAGTGTACCTATTTCATTAAATTTTAAAGTAACTTAAAAAAAATAACGTTACACGAAACAAATCCTTCTCATTTGAATTCAAAACATTACGGTTGTTCTTGATTTCGTATGAATTAATTTCAGTATTTATTTTATCCGAGTGTTTTCGTAATTTGCGCTTGAAATATCATTGAATTTCAACCTGTATGTATGTAAATTTTCTACTCTTAAATTATAGAGAAATTATTACTATATTTTTTATTATAGAGAACAACAGCATAACAGCATAGTATGGAGTTTGCTTGATTTAAAGTAAAATACCTCAGCCGTATAACATCTGAACAAATACGCTGTCGACCTATGTCTTTGCATATTCGGAAACTGCTGAAACCGAAACGCGACTAGAATTCACAACTTTTCAGGACACAAATATCAGGATAATGCTTCTTGGGCTAGACGGAAATTTATTAATCCGTTTAATATCTAAATTTCCTGATAAATTCCAACATCCTTCGGAAAATTATGGACATGGTGGGGACTCCAGCCCACGACCGATTGATTATTAGCCATACATTGCCAGTATGATATCAACTTGACCGTCATATTTTATTATTTAGTAGAATATCTATCAAAAAATCGTAAAACAACCACTAAGTGACCTCCTTTTTAATTGTACCTTTTTTGAACAAGGGAGGACTAAGTAAACATTATTAAACACACATAAATCGTTTTAGTTAAACATGCAAATTGAATTGTATAACTTTAAGAGATTATTTTTAATAAATAATAATGCAGTAAATTTGATTTCTTCATCAGTAATAAAAACTTTTTGATGTCGCTAAAAATAGACTAAAGGAGTTTTATTTGAGAAAGTTTCAATCAAACGTAACCAAGAGTTTTATTTGTAAGTCTTCCGGGTTCCAGGATCTTTTCAGTTCTGAAACTTTCCCCAAGTCATTTATAACGTTTTGAAAGATTTTTATTATATTTGTTTAGGTTACTTTATTACTTGTTCTATTGTCGAGAAACATATGGATATGAATTTTTTTAGATAAGGGTTTTTGTATTTTCAAAGAGCTTTCATACAAATTTCAATTATGACAATTTTAATTAAAGTAATGATAATTATGGTATGATTATGGTTTCCTATGAAACTGAATACAGCCTTCTCGGTACTAAAATAGAAATGTATTCAAGGAATAGTTGCATGTCACAAAGAGAAATCATTAGCGAGATCTCCGTGTATGTCGATGGAGATTTGAATTCAATTTTACAGAGTAATAACACCGCAGAGATTTAGTTGAATAAACTCTGTTTGATTTAAAAATTATTAAACTTTATTGTTTGAGTTATTGTTGATAGTAATTTTAAATTAATATTTATTATAAATTTGAATGGTACGTGTTTATAATGACTATATTTGACTTTTAAAACCTGTTTAACAGTTAATATCAAACATTAATTCATATGTAAAAGTTGTATTTATTAAGTAATCTAATATATTTCGCTTTTAAAACCAGTAAATAGTATTATCTTATTCCAGAGAAGTAGCTGTCAACCTAGAATAAGTTTAAGTATTGTCTATTTATTATGCTTGTAGTAGCCGTGGTCACGGGGGGATGAATTATAAAAAAACGTAGCTAATACATTTCCCGTTTTATGAACCAAAAGTGTTTTGTTTGTATAACTTAACTTTGTTACCTACAAAAAAAAATTAAAAAAAAAAAAAAAAAAAAAAAAAATGTTTTTTTTTTTTTTTTTCACTTTTAAACGCAAATTTTTGTGTATAAGTATTTTAAAAAATTTGAAAGAAAGGCATTTGAACTTCACCTTAAGTATTTTTCACGATATCTTTGAAAATATACTAAAAATAGTTAACTTTCCTAGTCATTAAAGCCCCTTGTAGTGAAAAACTATTTTTCTCCAATGCGGCTTAGACTTAGAATTCCATTAAAGCTTCATTAATATTCCTTTTAAGTTAAAAGCGATAAGCAGAATTATTTAAAAATAAACTGTCTTCGATTTCAGGTTCCCTTCGAGTAGTGGCCTTTTAATATTGAAAAAATACATTACAGAAACAAATCATTTAATTTTTCATATCGTAAGAAGTAATCGAATCAGCGACAGCTGCAAACTGAACCACCTAAACGCAATTACATCGTTTTGAATACTGGCATCCATTTAACACGAGACAGAATTAAAAATGATCTCTCATCTGTCATTTGTTGCAAAACATACAAACATGTAACCTCCACAGATTAAAGATAACTTCTGATTCTAATAAATACTTATATTTTTGACGGGTTTGTTGACCCAATGGTAGCGATGTATGGCTAATAATCAACGGGTCGTGGGTTCGAACCCCACCGGGTGCAACATCTTTCTAATTAAATACTGTCTATAGTTTACGCGAGTAGTACACATTTAAATAAAACACTTTAAAGGTTTAAAACCCAAAAATTTATTAACCGATAAAATCAATTTTAACTAATAGATCTCGTTTTAAACCGTTAAAGTGTTTTATTTAAATCTTTCTAATTTTTCAATTTATAATTTTTCTGAAACATTTTTGATTTCGTCTGGAAATCTGGATATTAAATGTGTGGTAGGAATATAGTAATTCCGTCCGGGTCACGAATCACCGTCCACAGATAAATAAGCCGTGAAATTTTATCACGTTTTGGTTTCAGTCTATGAATTTCCGAATATCCAAAGCCAAAATAGGTCGATAGCGCATCGTGTTTAGATGCGCTATTGACTGGGATATGTCACCTACCATCAACTAAACCCCGTGCTTGGACATACAATCATATTCTCTTATAAAAAAAATATTTTTATAAGAGAATATGCCACCATTATTATTGTTAGGAATTTTAGTACTGTTAATAAAATATTGTAATTTATTATAACACAGGGGAAATCGGGAATTGATCCATGGTCATTCATTTTCATAGATACATAAAAAAAGACGGATTGAACATCTGTTTGTGTACGATTAAAACTTATTATACTAACTGTTTTTAAAGCTGTTATGTTTAACTAACACGAAACGAAGGGACCCTTCAGACCACGGTTCCTGCAAAACATCCGAAACGTCGGGCCGTAGTTAAAATATATTGTAAATAAGTTAACTTACACATTTCGCGTTTTAAACCGTTAAAACTGTTTTATTGAAATGTGTACTACCCGTAACACTAAGGGTAATAAAATATATATCCAAAAAAACTTTAATTCTTAATGAAATTACATATTTCAATTTTATGTCACTAATATTTAAGTAGCGAAAATAGGCAAGAAAATCCGTAGGAGAGAGCTAGTTATAATATAAATTGTTCGTAAAATGGTAAAAAAGCCAGCGATATTAGACTTTTGGGACTTGATAAAATCAACATACTTTATTTGATTAATCAGATGGCCTACACGCGATGACTTTTTATGTTAAAATTATATTAAGCAATCTTGGTAGTGGTTAGTCTATCCAAATCTATGTTAATTTTATAAAGCTGAAGAGTTCGTTTGTTTGAACGCACAATCTCAGGAACTACTGGGTCTATATGTATTTTTTTTGTGTTGATTAGAACATTTATCGAGGAAGGCTATCAAAGAACGCGCTGCGACTAATAGGAATGAAGAAACAGCAAGACTTGTAGAGAAAACGGGTGATGCTACGAAAACGGTTCATGATACCCAAAAAATATGTATGAAACAATGATTCCTTTTTAAATGACCTAATAAAATGTCTGCGATAGTATTTGTCTATCTTTTAAGATTAACTTGCAAGAACGACCGACGTCGTGGGAAATAGTTTAAATTTATAAAGATGAAGGGAGGTTAGCAAAAACAAATTTAGATGTTCAAAATAACTATTCTACGCGGATGAGGTCGCTAACATAGCTAGTTCTTTATATGGCAAAAATACCTTTGGCAGATCAGCTAGTTATAGAAAGCTTATACTGCCCTAATTAGGAAAATAGTAATTAAGGCAGTTAAGCAAATGGTAATCATAATTTTCACGCGTTGGTGCACAAGACACGCATAATACAATTACATTTAATAATATGTAATTCAAAATAAATAATTCGAATCCAACCTTATACAAAATAATAACACTTAAATTGATTTGAAGATTACAAAAATTTATCTACCAAAAATAGCTTTTTTTTTTGTGTTACAAAATTATTCCTAGCAAATAAATAATCCAAAGGAAGACTCGCTTCATGGTATGGCAACAGCACGGTTAGCTGTGTATGCCGGTTCAAGTCCCGCCCATGTCAAATTTTAATTTTAAAACATTTAAGTTAAAT